GCCGGCTAGGGGTGGCCGGCCGCGCCACACTCAAGCAACGTGATAGGCGGCCGCGCTCTCCTCACTGTGCCCTTTCAGTGTGGCGGCATATCCCCCAGACTATTTTCTGTATCCGGGGGATAGGTTTGGGAGAGAGTTTTCCTCTCATTGTTGACCCCTTTTACACCCCTTTCTTGGACCATAATAAACCAGCTGAGAGTGCTTCTTCATAGAGGTTAGGAAAATTGCTCTTCAAGCTTCCATAGCCACTCCATCTGTCTGTCCTCCGTCAATTCTTCAAAAACCCCTAACCCTTAACCTTCTATTTCTTCGACGACCCCAGCTCTAGCCACCACCCACTCATCTCCAGGCAGCAGAAGAGATTCTTGAGGCTAAAGCGAAGCTGGCAAAATCCATCCGAAGAGGCAACAAAAGTATCTGGATCTTCGAAGGGTAAGTCACCTTTTACCTTTTGACCTTTTTCTTGACGGTCCATTTCTAACCTCACTTCTTTTTTGTTCTAAGCTGCCGGCCCTAACTGAAAAGGGCCATCTTTTGAGATCATCCTTCACTTTTCATTAGGGCTCAACCTGTTTGAGCCCGTCCCATATACACTTGCTTCATTGGACCATCTTGTTATGTCATAGATCTTGCTGCTATTTGTGACCCGATGAACAACATTTTATTTTCGGAGCATGTGGTTAGAGATCCTGATGTGGTAGCGGTCTTGTATTTGGCCCTCAAGCTCTTCACATTGCTGAGAGGCGTTCAACATTGTTTGAGTGCTTTCCTATTATGCCACTCGCAAGTTCATAAAAGTTTTAAATTATCTATCTCATGTAAGTCTTCACAACTTAATGGACTAAATATATTTTATATATTTGCTTCTGCAGCCCCTAACTATATGTTATTTTGTTAAGAGGCCTTTGGTAATTCAAGGATTACTGGCCGGTTACGACGTTAAACCTATAGGGGCAGGTTTGGGTCGTGACACTATAGGTAAAAGCATCCATGCTTCTTTGAAGGGATAAAAACAAGTTTGCTATATCTATTGGAGGTTGGTCAGCTATCACCATTAGAGGTGGATTCATCACAAATTTTAGAAATTTCGACTGGAGAAGTACTGACAGTGAGGTTTTAACCATTCTTTTTGTAACTGGCAGTAGAGAAACTAACACTGGTTGTCCCTAAACTGAGTCCATTTACCAGTGCGAGCCCATAAAACTTGAGGGATATTAGACTGTTCTAAAGCTATAGTGCTACGACTTCTTAGCAAAACAAAAAATCGAACTCCCAATCAAAATTTCAGCACATTCCGACTCTACTAATCACTGCTAAAATTGAACTCAACCCCATAAACTGAAATGTTTGAACCACTCATCTGAATTTGAGAATCCTTGTATAGATCCCATACATTGCACATAGCATATAGCAGGAAAGAGAACAAATACCCCTATGGGGGTAGGGTTACCTTGTCCTAACTTTGAAATGATCTAGGGTTTCACTATTCAAACAAACGGTATCATACATCCTAAAAATGGGAGAGCATCTTGTCCTAATTTTGGAAAGTACTATAACTCACTATATGTACAAGGTCAACTCTACTCTAGCGATGAAGTCAAGGTGACATCATGAAAGTGCCTTTGGTTAATGACGAGTTAAGATCCTAGGAAGTCGGAAGAATCAATATAGCCTCTCTTCGAAGTTTGATAACCTTAGATAGCGGAGCTACCTTTTTGAAAGATCTTAAAAAGTATTAACATAGGGTCTCAAAAGTAACGCAAAGATGAGTATAGTGTCACAAAAAGACTTGCATGTGCTCCCACTAATATCTGGGCAACATAAGGACTTTAAGTGCACCAATGTATGCAATGCAATAAACTCATAATTGAAAATAAAAGTCATATCATGTAGTACAAGTAAAGGTTTCATAAAATCCCCAGCAGAGTCGCCAAAAACTCTGACATGCCCGAGAGGTACCCGTACGCATTAAACAGTTCAGACCCTCGACTTCTTTGATCTAGTCTCATGAGTGCAATGTGAAGCATAGATGAGAGTCCAGATTTGGCAACTTTTATAGAAAATTCATTTTATTACAAAATCTTTGCCAAAAATGGACTACATCAGCAGATCTCAGAGTCACCACCTAATATTTTGAAAAATTTAGGAAACCCGTAACTCATACCAAGGCCACTATTCATTGTAATCAAGGATGCTTGGCTCGGAACTTTAGGTATGAGAGGTTAACTAAGCACCCTCACTCACCAGATCAAAAATCAACCTTTATTAAACCATGATATGAGTTTTATTAATTTTATATGTTCATATTCTGGTTATTAAATAAATCTTACAATTTACTATGTGGAGCATACAAGTATAGATTATGTCATTCATTTTGGAATAATTTGATTTCATGTGTTTTGAATATGTACAACCCAAAGAAATTGAGTTTACAAACAATGAAAATCAACATCGTTCCAAATTAAGTGACATAACCTCCATCCACCGGCATTCATACAGTTATATCAAGTAAGCAGGCAGCCACATGGTAAGATGTTTAAATATAGTAAGAAAAACATACAAAAGTGGGATGCTAAAGCATAAAACCTTACATATTACGTCTCACGAACAGCTATAAAACAAAGTTAGTAAAACATGTATGGTCTTATATACAAAATCCTAATGCAATTCACTTGTGAAATGCAACTGAAGATTCAGCTTCTAATAAATGACATGTGAATCATCTGAAGAACATAAGGTAGCGTACATAATCACACATAGGAATTGAACAAATTCACAAATGTAAACTTAGTCAAATCAAGATGCATGATAAATGGATGCAAAGCATAGATATAATGAAAAGTAAAATATGATGCATATTTACAAATAAGAAAAGCAAGTAAAAGAATGTGATAGAAAGAAGCAGGGCGGAGAATTATTATCATACTTGAATAATTACATACCAATTGAGAGGAAGATGAAGAAAATATTACAACAAAATAAAAACCTCACAAAACTCTCAAATAAAAAGAAAATAGATGATGTAGGTTTTGAGGATCGCCGAAAACTAGCATGCTTGACGCTGGAAGACTACTTTGTTCCGTCCATTAGAAGTTAGCCGACCAACAAAATAATTAGCTAGTCGGCCAACTAGGCCTAGCAAAATCTATCTTGTTGCAACACCGAGAAAAGAACAAACAAGGAATACGTAGGTGGCTCAACTAACCATTTCTGGTTAAATTACAACAAAAATAATATGAAATTAAAGCAAGAAAACAAATATAAGATAGAAAATGCAAGAAAATGAAAGAAATTGAAAATTGACCTTCTAAAGAAAGAATGAACTTCTTGATTTCCAAACTTCCTTTCAATTACCCTCAAAATTGTGAATTGTGTTCTTAATCTTCAATTCAAAAACTTGGAATTTGAGCTAGAATGGTGGCTTCGAACAAGCATGTTTATCGGAAATGATCACTCTTTAGTTTCTTGAACTTGGCAAGGATTACTCTCTTTTTTATCAAAGCTTTAGGACTTAGTTCCAATGAATTTCTTGAGTGGTGTTTTGCAATGGATGATGAGACATATACAGGCTAAGACAACTTCACTATTTTGACAAGACAACTCTCTCTTTTTCAAAGTTCTCTTTTTTTTTATTAGACTCTATTCTTCTCCTCTCAAACTCATCATTCTCTCTACACTTCTTCCCTCAAATTTATCTCTTAAAATTTAAGACTTGAGCTCTCCTTATATAGGTAATGCAAGTGGAGCAATGGTGGAAGACGTGAATGGAGCATTAAGGAAGATAATGGAGCAAATGGAACACAAATAGAGCTAATGGAAGATAAAAATGAAGCATTACCTTCAATAGCACTAGGCAATGGAGACTGAGTATACATGCATTCAATCCATGAATGGGTTAGAAAATGGGGTTGTGAAGTGTCCCACCCGAGCAAACAAAAAAACTAGTGGACACTATCTTTGGCTGGTTGTAGCTTGATTTTTTGTGCTCCTTTCGGATACGACTAGCCCTACAGTTTGGACTTCTCTTGTGGTTCTGAATTTGATTTCACAAGTGCAATGTGAAACAGTGAAAACACAAAAGAGTCCAAATTCGACAATTCTTTTAGAAAATCGATGTTTGAATCAAATGCCAAAAATGGACTGCTTTGCAAGATTTCAAAGTCACCACCTAAATATTTTGTTTTGGAAAATTTAAGAAACTCGTGACTCGTGCCAAAGGCCATTAGTCTGTCATCACCAAAGTGTCTTGGCTTGGGAACTTAGGTACGAAAAGGAAAGGTCATGAATTGAGCACCCCACTCGTCTGATAAAAAATCAGCATCTACTAATCATTATGTGATTTTTATTTACATTATATGCTCACTATAACAAAAAAAGGTTTTTACAGCGCGCAATGCACACTGTAAAAACCCTTCTACGACGTACAGCGCGCGTCATATTATGACCAGTCATGGAAATTCATTCACTTTCAAAGATATGCTTCGTACGTTGTTAAAAACTATTTAACGACAGATTTTGTACGTCGTTGTTACTTTTTCTACATGTTATAGTACGCCGTTAAAAACTATTTAACGGCAAATTTTGTGCGTCGTTGTTACTTTTTCTACAATATGCTATAGTACGCCGTTAAAAACTATTTAACGACAGATTTTGTGCGTCGTTATTACTTTTTCTACAACATGCTATAGTGCGCCGTAAAAACTATTTAACGGCAAATTTTATACGTCATTGTTACTTTTTTTACGACTACTTTTGCACGCCGTTAATTGGTGAGACAAATAACGTTGCTGATTGTACGCCATAAAATATGTAATACAACTTATTATGCCTACCGTAGAATATTCAATTTTTTTTATTTTTAAATTCAGCAGGTTCTATTTGACCAATTTGGTACAATCTAACAAATATTACAAACAAGCATCACAAAACATCAATCAACCACCAAAATATTGTTTGAAACATAAAAAAGAAACTATATCCATAAATTATAAGCATTCAACAATTGTCTATACATTCCAAACATTCAAAAACTATATCTTTAAGTTCTAAACTGTACAAAAAGTTTAAACCATCCAAAACTATGCATATCTAACTTTCTATCAACAACTATTAAGAGATTATCTAAAATTACCGACAACAGTTCCTATAACAGTTGCAGCTGCAACTGTAGCAAATCCACTTGCTTCTATCATAGGGACGAGGGTGCCCAATGTAGAAACCTGCAGCAATAGCTGAAGCAACTAACCCTATTGCATTTCTTGTCTGCATAACAAAAGAAACTTCTCATAAGTATAAAAACCAACGACTCATGGACAAAAACATTTCTTGAGATATTAAGAAATGATCAAGAAATTTTAAAATATCAACAAAACATTTCCACAATTTATAAGATAATTCAATGACCCCATAAAAGCAATGTCATAATGAAAAATTAGCAAAAATTCAAGATCTCAATAGTTTGCTACTAAATCCAAGCCATAAGAAGCTCATGAGAAAAATCAAATTTAAAAAGAGAAAGAGGTGAAATTAATCTACTTCAATGCAACACTTACTTGGGACTTGCATAATTATGTTAAAGGATCTCCATGTATGAGGTTTAGGTTTGTATAAGTTTTATCTATTAACATTGTCACGCCCCAAAAATAATTCAACATAAGACCCCAAACGAACAAACATTCTCTATGCTTTGACAACAACTCTTCATCTTCATTCATATAATAAATGGGTTTAATGCAAAAATTCCACATGCAGTATACATTCACTAAACAAAAGGATATATGAATCTAGAACATGTGAAGTACCTAGCATCAAAATAATAAAATGCCCTTACGGGCTTACATCTTCCAAGGCGATAACCCGATTAACAAAAGGTTCTTTCAAACCCATACATGTTAGCCCTTAGCTTTACAAAAGAATTCACAACAAAAGGAGGGCCGTGTGCTCTTTACAATTATCCACGCCCTCAATTTGGCGGGATCACCACGTCTTTTCTTGCACCAAAACCCATAAGGGTGAGCATAAACTCAGTAGAGAAATACCAAACAAAGTATATACGTTTATGTTGGATGGCCAAAAATTGAATGCAAGTGCAAATGCGATGCAACACTTTGTCAAAATATTATTCACGTCTTCCTTGAGAAACACCATGCATTTCATTTACAATTACAATCTCATAGATTTCCAAATTTAAACTTTTTAATCACAAAGGGCGGTAAATACGACACTGGTAATTCCTAGGCTGGTGTCTGCAAGTAGACTCTACGAGTACTACCAAACTGTCATTTTTACAGGTATTAACCGGAAGGCTCGACACCTATCCGCGCGGTTTTCTGGACTTTCACCGTGGACACTCAGGCCAACTTATCAAATTTATCTACACCCCCTAACCGGACTTACCACCGTATTTACCCCATACACGATTCATAGTTCTCATTACAATATAATCATTTCCAAAGAAAACGTTTTTCAACTCATTTCAAGATGTGCATTGAAGATAATAAATTTAAATGAGAACATGATGCAATGTATAATAGCTCATAACATTCCTTTATTTCAAACATCTCTACAACATCAATTTACTACATTATCCATTTCTTCTTCTCAATGATATTCCACAATTCACCGTGCCATCAACCCATAGCACTAACATCTTTCATGCTCAATTCACAACAATTGGCCCTCTTCAAGATTACATGCGATGCCTTTCAATTATCAATTCCAATGTTTTACAATTATCTCCAACCAAAATGCACAATCATTTGTTATTTTACAACAATACACTTCAAATATTCAACAATAATGTTAGAATAATAGCTCTTTTCTCAAATCCTAAGTAAATTACCATTTATGCTAATCAATGTGGAGAAAGTTTCACTATCTAATTTTAGAACAACAAGAGGCCCCCAAACATATTTTCACCTATCAAAATCCCCCAACATTCTCTAGGGTTTTAAGCCAAGAATCAAAATAAACCTCTTTCCCCTCTTTGGAAAGGGTTTTTCATTCAAAATGCCACACTTACCATTATATAAGTTAAAATCTTCAAGAGGGATAATTAAAGAGAGAGATATCAAAAACCTATTTTTAAAACCCTAACTTTTATGAGATAAGACTAAAACTTCAATATCATTAATGGAGACTTTAAAGCCAACCAAATCTAACATAAATATATATATAACTCATGGAGATTTCCCTACCTCAAGACCTTGATGAAGAAAGGAAGTGAAACCCTAGCTTTCAAGATGGTGTGTTCTTCAATTTCTCCTACACCAAGAGGGGTCCAAGCTTGATCTTCAAGATTTAGGAGATGATGATACTCTAAGCCCTAGAAATTACAAGAAATCAAAATATTTTGGAGGTTTGTAGAGAGTTTCTAGAGAGGAGGAGAAAAGATGGCTTTTAGAGTGAGAAGGAAGGGTTAGGAAATGAGGTATTTTCGGCCTCAAAATGATAAAAAAACAGAGTTTTCAGACTGCCAGAGTACCGCACGTGTGGCACCCATCCCCGCACGTGCGAAGCGCCATCTCCCGTACGTGCGGCCCTCACCACCGCACGTGCGGGGCTCCTCCCGCACCTCAGTCCGCACCTACAATTTAAGCAGTGTGCTCAGCCAAACAGTCCCAGAATTCCTCACGTGCGGCTTCACTCCCTACGCGTGCGGACCCTCTCCCGCACGTGCAGCCCAAGGCCCCCGCACGTGCAGCCCCTGGTTTCCAGCCCAGAATTTCCCGGCTTCACTCCCGGGCATTCCGGACTCGGCCGCGTGCCCTCCAAAACAAGAGAGGTTTAAGTCCCCGAACAAAACAGAGGTAAAGACTATCATTTAGAGAACCAATTCCAAACGTGATTAATCTGATAAAAGCGAAAGGAGAAGGGAACGAAGAAAGAAAAGAAGGGAAGTAAAGACTCGGTTGTCACAAACATTGTAAGTTCCAAACTAAAGAGTCCAAATCAAATTAGAGTCTATATTATTTACAAGTTTAAAAAGAAACTTTCAATCCAATATGTACATGAAATGTTGTCAGGTGAAAGTGTAAAATATAGACTAAAAAAATATGAAATCTGGAACATTTTAAAGATAAACAGACTCTTTTCATCCCCTTTCTGGGGACCTAACAAGCCAAGTTGAACATCACTAAGCTTGATTCAAAGTGAAAGATGCTGACAAATACTACAAAGCCACTACAGTTTCATGGGCAATAAAGTAAGCAAGTGCAGTATGCTAGCAACTTCCAATCACTAATTCTACTAGTATGCTATGAAATGGCAATATATGAATTTCGATTAGGCTAGTTAACAAGCTGAAGCTTGGTGAAAAGTATACAAATCAAGTTTGAAAATGCCTAAGCTCAATTTAAATCCCATAAACTCAAGGCTAACCAATTTAATATTCAGTTCTGCATATCTTGTTTGCACCAATAGACATTGTTTTTATGAGTCGAAGTACTGTCACGGCAGTGCACCTATTTTTTTTTTTTTTTTTTTTGAGTTTTGCACCTTCGCCTACTGTTCATGCTTTTTGGCTTATATCCAAAATGAGGCTATAATAGCCTGAACTTGTCTTTCCCAAACAGCGCCATAGTATGCCTTTCAGAACCAATTAATGAAGACAAACTAAATGACCTCCATGTTAAGTAATCCCAACTGTGATGTATAGTTTTTGCTTGGTATTGTTCAGGGTTCACCCCCTTATGGTGTTTTTTGGTCTATAAAATATTGTACTCATCAAAAAACAGAACAAGCACATTAAAGGTAACGCACTGACCTGTCAACAAAAGAATAAGCTAGTGCTTGCCCATTGTAGTCTTTTCGGAGCCCATCATTCCTGGATTCCATTTTCCATAGAGTTCAATCACAAAAATAACTTGAAATACAATTATGGAAGACAATTCTCAAAAGAAAACTCACTAACAAGAAATATACAACAACCATTTAAATATGAAGCAACCTTCTTACCCTTTCTCTGCAATCACAGCAACATCCAGTTACATGGCTGTGAAAAGTTGCATCATATCAACCAAATCCTATGTTTCGAGAAACCCACTCCAGCAGTGCGAATGCCATTTTTTTGCATGATTTAATTTCTACCACATGTACCAAATTATATGTATTCGAATATTGTTAAACTAAACTTATAATTCAGTAATTGATGTATCTAAAAATTAAATTCATTTAGCTTTTTCATACTTGCATTAAATAAAATTTAATAATAGGTATTTGCTGATGGAATTCTTTCAAACTCTAAATATTTAATTTAACGTTTATCTTAAAAAAAAAATTTAAGTTATTGAATTTATATTAAAAATACAATGATGTGGATAGCATCATGCTAAATTTGGCACAATGATAGCACACTGCTAGAGTTGTTTTTTTGTTTTTTCCCCCCTTTTTGTGTCCATCTTGCTAAATTTTAGCAATAGCACAATGTATAGCAACTGGTAGAGTTGCCCTCAAAGTGAGATACAAACTTTACTGCTATTTCCTCACGAGAAAATCTCACTATTTGAACTAAATGCATACCTGATTCATAAGGTGCAATTAACTCAAGAAATTATCGAAGTAAAAAGTAATTAAGGTCATTTAGGAGAAAACAAAAAAGAACATCAAGACAGACCTAAGTGGCCTATGAATGTTGTGTCAATTAGAGAAGCAATGGGATCAGCAGCTAATGTCAGCACTGCAGGGAATGCAATTTGCAGTATCTCCACCCCAAGTATGGTTTAGGGGTAAAATATAGAATTGAGGAGAATGAAATGTAATGAGAACAAAATTTTCTGGGCACTTTTTTCCCTAAACAGAGACTGTAAATGAGTAATTTTCTAGGCATATGGAAATTTTCTGGCTGGGCATATTGAAATGGGTAATTTTTTCATTTTGCTCGATCTGCTCTGATAGCAAGAAAAACTCAACTCAAATGAGCCAAATACTTGTGTCAGGCATCTAATTAGAAAAGAAATTACAAGAAGAGTCCTACTACTTTACTTGTCAACAATTTGTCCATGCAGTGACACAACACTACTACGAAAAAGGGGATAATCAAAATTTAGAGGCATAGAAAACCTTGATGCAAATTAGAAGGAAGATGAGCCTAGATGTTGGAGACATTCAAGAAATTTTCCAAAGAGGAAGTGGAAAGTTTTTAAGGAGAAAATCAGGCAGTCCGAGGTTCAACAAAATTCTAGACACAATTTTTTTACAAATCTGAACTAAGTAGTAAGAGATCCTAAAACCAGCACCGGAATGAGTCTATTCATTGATATCAAAATCTAGTATTTTGAAGCACTTAAATATCTAAAATTTCTTCCAAGAGCAAAGACGGAGACAATGATCATAATTCCAAATAATGGGCTGTATAGTTTGAGGGAGGGGACAAAGATGGCTTTGATGCGTTATGGTAGCAACAAGCTACAACAAAGACTCAAATTCCGCTAGCTTTTGTTTTCAACATTATAAAAGCAAACAATTAAAATAAATTTAAAAATAAAAATAATAAATAAATAAATAACTCAGAAGTGTAAGTGAAACACAGTAAAAATACTAATAAATTTGTCCTTGCTACACAAAGAAATCAACTAAGTTATCATTTTAAACATAGAAGTATATTTTCATGCAGAGCAGAATATGTTTTAAATTATGGAATTGAAATAATTTTATAATTAATCCACTAAGAACTAGACAGAAAAGCAGTAGAGATAGAAGTAAAAAAATTTAACACTTTAATATATCAATTGAATGGAACCAAAGTAACAAGATTGCATTGAAGGATGAAATTTTCAATCATCAGTTCCAAATTTTGATAACCAAATCCAGTATCTAATGCACTATCCTCTTTGTAGTATTGTTTAGTGAACTAAAGTTCATGTAAATCAAAAGTAACAATTGGTTCAATCTTTGTTTGCAAAATTAAAACCAAACATTCTCATTCTTACCAAAAAGTGCACAGAATATAGTGCACTACTCTTTATTATTTCCCAAATTCTAACCGCAGTGATATATAAGGAAATTCAATCAATATAGCACACTCAAACAACTTTGATTTCTACGTTGAACCATCAACTTAAAGGAGTACTCAAATATATTAACAAATGGTTCTCAATAAACTATACACAACTTACTATTAACAAACAAGCAAATAAATTGACAATTCAAAAAGAAAATAAAAAGGAATAAAAATGAATTGAAAGATGGCTTCCTTCCTAAATCAGAGGATTACAATACTAGAGAAGGAACAAATTTTGAAATTTTCTTGATTCTCCAGCACACAATTTGCAAATTGCATGATCATTTTAGTGGATGATGATGATCAAGACATCAAATTCCATGCTCAAGACAACCAAAATTAGGAGAGTAACCCATTTCATTTCTAATTTTTTGAGCTAAATGCCTGATAATCTACCAGATTCACAAAATTTACTAATTCAAAAAGGAAAAACACTGCCTTCAAACTCACTTTCCCCAATAAAAAGACCCCATTTAAGCAATATTGTCTCATTCACATATAAATTCAACAACAGAACCACCCAAAATAGCAAAAATATTCAAAACCCATGAACCATCTATGGCAAATCTGTGCAATTAGACAATGTTGATACCCAAAAAAATCAAAACCCACCTCTAACTTGAGAATCCAGATATAGATCCTTCTGATCTCCATACTGAAGAAAAGGGGGTAGCCAAAAAAAGGCAGAATGCATATTTATACTTGGAAGAGATTTTCATTGTTTGTTACTCAACTATTCTTCAAAAATATTATCCCTCAATGAAAACCATAGGGAATAATAATAACTACACAAGTGAGTAACACACTCACTTAAAATTTCAAAAAATAAAAACCAAAAAAAAAAGAAAAGCAAAAGCAACTCTAGAGTATGATACCTGACAAAAATGTGCGTTTACAATTCAAGAGCCTGCAACATGTGCCCAAGGTTATTTCCCCACACACCCAAAAAATAAGAAATTCACAATTGGTCGAGCATGTATTCGAAATATAGTATGAGGGCAAACTCTAAAAGTATGAATTCTTTCTTTTCATTTTATCTTTTCTAATCTTTTTATGGTTGGTAGCCACTTCAAAGAATACACGATACATTTAAATGCAGACAGGTGCCCTCAAATTTATTTCTTCACACATTTTAAAGAACCATGTGAGTAACTAGTTTAAGGCTAATACCCACACAAGAACATCAAAATTTGATAACAAGAGTACATTCCAAAAATAGGAAGAATTTAAAAACATGCCAAACAAAACAAAAGAGTAAAAACCTATATCACCTATGAAATCAAATTGTGCTATTATAAACAATTTTCCAATTATGAATAAAACTCTCAATCAATCATGCATAATACAAACTCATGCAGTAGTAAGAAGAACAATCCCCAAATGCACAGATTTGGCTGGCTATATATACATTGATTAAAGAACTCAATACTTACTCTTCACAACCACTCTAATGAATTTAATTTAAACTTGTTGGAGTTTATCCCCAAAAATCCCAAACAAATATTTAAACCCACATTTGTCACCCCAGAAATTATCATATTAACAACAAAAACTGTGAAAAATTCAATTAGTAAATATTTTGATTTCTTTTCGCTGCAACCAAACAGGGGGAAATGGGCATGCTAAGAAAAACGGAAAACCTAACCTTCGTTTCTTGCGTCTCTGTCCATTACTTTCTTCTTCTTCTTCGGACACAGACTTGTTGTCTTTAAGTTTCAAAGTCTCTGAAGCTTCCTCGTGAATCGCTTCTTCATCTTCTTCTTCAACAATGACAGCGTTGTTGTGGGTCCTCTGAACACAGGTCTCGAGGAAAGAATCAATTTGGTCTCGGAAGAAGGGTTTGCGGTCAGACAAGTCGATGTCGAACTCTGACTCTAGGGTACGCCGGACGGAGCGGGCGGTGGTGGTATTGAGGTCGGAGGTCTGGAGCACATCCCAGAGCCGATTCACCAGCTCCGAATCCGAAACCATTTTTACTACTACTCGTATTCAGATACTCCGATCCGGTTAAAGAACTCAACCAAGAAAAAGAAGAGAAGAAGAAGAAAGAGTGAAATTGGTGAGAATATGATTTAGGGTTTGAAATGGATGAGTGTGGTGGAGGAGTAGAGAGTGACTTCTGCAAAGTGTATTTCATCTTAGCATTTGGCCAGAGTATTTCATTTTCCCGCCTAGTTTTATTTTGGTCATATTATTCATGATTGAAATTGTGTATTGTGAAAAGTAAAATATTTTTAATGGCCAGCATATGTGCGCCGTGAAAAGTATATTTTTTAATAGTTGATTTTTTGTGTGCCGTAAACATTGTAATATTTTTAAGGGTTGGCATTTTGTGTGCCGTGAAATGTTTAATATTTTTAATGGCTGGTGTACGCGTGTCGTGTATAGTTGATGTATTAACGACATGACATATGCACGTCGTAGAAAGTTTTATTATTTACGACTAACATTATAATTCGTAAAAAAATCATCATTATTAGCATTCACGGCCTACGCAATAGACACATCGTGGTTATAAAAGTATTTATGACGTGCAAAAAAAACAAATCGTAAAAGTGAGAAACTACGGCGTGCATTTATTGTATGTCGTTGATGTGGTGTCGTAAAAAGTCAGTTTTGTTGTAGTGGCTCTTGTTCCAGTTATTAGACTAATATTACTATGTGTTGCACACAAATATAAACTAATTTGTAAAAATTGGAACTCTTTGTTTTCATGTTTGTTTGAAAGTTGTTTTGAATATGCGTCACTTAAAAAATGGGTGAGTTTGTACATTAATCAATTTGTCCCAATTTTAGCAATTAGCCTTCATCCACAAGTATTCAAACAATTATATCATTTAAGCACTTAGCCTCATGGAAAACATGCTTGGCATGGCAACAATTACATTTATGCAATATACTAAAGCACAAAAATGCTCACCTCGTACTCTAAGGCAAGCCAAAAGAAACAAAGAGTTAAAAAATATGCATGTTCTTAACTAATGCAACGTGACTAATATAACACATGCGATATGCAATTAAATTAGCTTAGCTAATAACATGGCATGTGAATCAACTTGATAGCAGGTGGTTTGAGCACATTTTCAAAGAAGGAATAGATAACAATGTGAGTTAGAATGACACGCCAAGCCTAATGCATGCAAGACAATGGATTCAAATCATGAGAAACGCTAAATAAAATATGATGCTCTAAATTATCCATCATAAGTGAGTAAATAAAAGGGAGAAAGAAATGGGGTTGGAAGACATACACGCTTATTACACATTTCCCTCATGCAAGAGGGTGCGGATCAATGCCTGAGTGTCCAAATTAAACTAACTATTACAAAACCGAATGAATGAATGAATAAGCAACTAACTAGCTAAGCTATAATTAACTAACTAGCTAATTTATTACAACAAAATAAACTAACTATCTAATGAATTATTGCTACGATAATACTAATTACAACGATAATTATTACAACAATAATGAGAGCATTAATTTACAATTTACAACGGAAGCACAAGAATGGCATGTACATAGCGGTTTCAGAAGTAACTGTGTCTGCCTTCCTTGGAATCTGTCCTGTTTCATCTTCAGTCACTGCTCTCTGTTTCTATAAAACACACTGTTTACCAAACATTGAAGGCCAGTCGGCCAGGCCCAAATAAGGCCGGGCTTGCCCTAATTTTGTGCAAAACCCTGTTTTGTGTTCTGAGGTGAAAACAGTGCAGACATAGTTAAACCATGATAATGAACCTCCGAAGAGATTAAACCATTTAGCATTGTATGTATCTTTCTCATGTTTAAACAACATTCAGCTAAAACAACTCTCAAAAAGAAAAGAAAAACCAAGAAAAAAGGAATGTTACAGAAATGATTATGCAAGATTGATTTACTACACAAGTGAGACTCTTTACATGGAATTAAGTAAGAAAGAGCTATTAACTCAAATGACTTGGTGTCTAAGGCCTAAACAATCGAAGCCATGAGGACTTACAACACAACAATCATAATATTTAAAGCATAAACTATTTAAATAAATTAAAATAGCCCTAAAATAGCCCCTAAAGTATAAAAAACAGTAGCTAAAACCATGTTAAAAGAGCGCAAAAGATAGGCAAAAACAAAGAGATACAAAGCTAGTAAGCAAAGCTAAGGAGATGTGGCTAACCCCTCCACTTTTGGGACTTCTAAACCATATTTTAGCCTCTAAAAATAGTCCAAAAATAGCCCCAAAACAGTGGCTAAAATCAGAGAAATAAGTGGGAAACATAAGGATATAAGTTTGGAATAACGTTCAAGGAAGGGTGGTTAACCCCTCCACCTTTGGTAGCTCTTAAATCACAAATTTCAGCCAACAAAACAGTCCCAAAATAGCGTACAAAGCATGGAAAAGAGAGGAAAACAGTAAAAAGATAAATAAGGAAGAGGATGCAAAAGTTATACCTCTTGAAAGAGAGAATGCTTGTAGTTAAACAAACTTGATTCCAACACCCTCAAAATTTATGAAATATGGTTTGGAACTTCAACAAAAGCTTCAAGAATAAGCTCTAATGGTGTATGTATTGTGTATGTATAGCTAAAGAAGGTTTGAAGATCAAAGGAGGAAGGAAGATGGAATGAGGTCTATTAGCTCTTCAAAGCTTTTGGAAATTTTATTAACCCTCAATTCTGAATGCAGAGGCTTTATTTATAGAATTTGATCCAATTTGATAAAAAATATCTTCAAAAAACAACAACTGGCGAATTCTCGCCAGTTGTCCTATTTCTTGCCACTAAGACCCGGCCAGGCTCTAAAACACATAGCCGGGCCCAAAAACACACGGCTGGGCCTAAAAAGGAACTTTGGAAAATTTTTCATTGAGACTCGGCCGCGTCTCAATGAGGCACAGTCAGTTCTAAATGGACCTGGCTGGATCCAAAAATCTACATTCAAGCCCGACTTTAAACAGGCATATCTCCTTCATCTGGACTCAGATTTAGGTGATTCTTGAGTCTAAATTGAAACCCCAAAAGTCTACTTTCCAATAGTATGGCCTCGCATATAAAGTCTAAGTGTGGAAAGAGATATGCCTATTTTAGTGAAGGTTGTTCATGTTGGAATGGTTATAAAATTCTGGATAAAACCAGAATTTTTTCCTAAGTTCGGTCTATTTTTTAGGTGGGCCCCGAGTGTCGATTTACTCGGGTCAAAGTGGTAACGCGTTCTATGCCGCGTTGTGATTCACGTGGTATATTTGGTTGCTCAAAACCATTACCGAGTGAATGGAAAATTGAAGCCAAAGTGTGCTCCATGGAAATAAAGTTTTGGTGGAAATTCCTTAAGGTTGTAAAATGGCTTGTCCCACATTGATTTGATGGGAGGTTTTGAATGGGTTTATAATGCTTGGGTTTGGTACTTGGGGTGTGCCCCAAGGGGTACCCAAGTGTTTTAGAGGGAGAGGTTATGGGATGAAGAGATCTATATGGAACAACCCGAAGGGTTTGTAGTATCAGGGCAAGAAAAGAAAGTTTGTCGACTTGTAAAATCCCTTTATGGATTAAAACAAGCACCTAAGCAATGGCATGAAAAATTTGATCATGCAATGAGAGAGAGGTCCTTATATACCTGATATCTATCTGGTTGGAGAGAACACCTTCACTTCAACAATGGAAGCCAATAGAGGCTTTAGTCCCGTTGTGGCTGGAACTCAACAGAGGATACTAGTTATTGCAGGAAATTAAGGATTACACAAAGATAGTGAGAGCAGCAGAGGAGGAAGAGAATGAGTGAGAGACGAAAAAAGAGAAAAAGAAGCATAATCCTTGTGGATGTGGGGGAGTGAGAGGAAAATAAGAGGAGAGAGAGTTAACCGGTTGCTCAAGTTTCCCATTTTCTACCATTAAACAATTCAATGGTCTTGATTAATTGTTTGTAATCTAAGGGCAGATAATTGGGTTGCACATAATGGGTTGCACACCTAAACAACTCTCATAAGAAATTTACATAAAAAAATTCTAAGATTTGACATCACCAATGTGATGACCGGGTACGTAACCTGTCTTACTTTTTCATCCTGGGAGATAGACGTCCGAATTCTGAAAGCACCGTGGAGAGGACGAATCTGTCTTAAGGACACAGTGTTAAACACTGGACTTGATCAGAAAAATAATTCGAAGAAATTAAATCAAGTAAGTTATTTAATTACTTTCAGTGTTGTTTTTATTTATTTATTTATTCAGATTTTAATTTTGTTTTTGTATCAAAATAAAATCTGTTTTTTTTATTTATTTATTTTTATTTCGAGTTTGATTTTTGTAATCAAACATATTCTCTCCTTTTCTCTATTTCTTTTATTCTTGTTGTTGTTTTGTACACAACAGAATTAAATCATTTTAAATACGGTGAAGATTGTCCAACAGTTCATTATTATCTTAACGGATTTATACCCAACTTCTTCTTAAACTAGTTTTATTCCCTCCCGTCCTATTTCCCTCAACTCCAAACCTATAAATAAGATGTTTTAAATATTTTTCAAAGAGTTCACCTCCATTCCATTTATTTCCACTTTGTCCTTGCTCAGTTTACTGAAAAGTACAATGCTTTAGATGAAATGTGAGTCTCGGAACATCGTAGAAGCATTTGGAAAAATATTTTGAAATGAGGGTTTTAAGGTCTAAAATAGTTTGGTCAAAATGGGTGTAAGGTTGGGATTAGAGCTTGAATCCAAATTTCTTCGCTGAGAATTCAAAAGATTGCACAGTGTAACTTTCATTATCGGGTGTTCGAAATAAAGCACCCAAGTCTTAAGGGCGGTGAAAAATGGGGTGTCTACAGTGGTCGAATGGCCGAACGACCAGGCAATCGACTGGCTAGAGAAAATTTCGGCCCTTTTGCTTCAGTTCAGTCCAGCTTTGCTCCGGTTCCCCACTGGTCTTAAACACTTGGCCAAAACATGTGTAGGGTTAGGAAAAAAAGCCCAAATTCCATATTTTTTACTGAGGATTTTGTGAAAAATACATTTTTATTTTCATCATCGAGTAGTCAAAAGAAAGCGCTCAAGTCTTAGGACCGGTCAAAATGGGGTGTCTACAGCATAGAGAACGTGCGTGTGCACATTAGTTGTTCTTACCCAAGTTGCCATTACCCAAGTATGGATGCTTAGATGTCCTTCTCTCTTTTGATATTCGTGTATGTATAAGATCCTATGACATTGTGAATTCTGCCACGGCCTTCCTGTTATCATTCTTCTCTCCAAATCCATGTTCCCCATATATGTTCCATAAGCTCAGCAAACTTTTCTATATGACCATTAAGTTCTCTAACCATTTTATTTCACCATTTTTTGTCCCTTTAGCAACTCCTCCTATTATGTTATTCAAATTTCCTGAATTATGTGTAAATTGTGTTTAAGTGTTACTTGGGGTTCATGAGCACTAATTACATTGATTATATAAATTCCTATTTCAAGTAATTATTAAAAATATCATCTGCTTAGTTCTCATAAAAATTGCAAATTATTTTAAAATGTTGTATCATGACCGTTCTATGTCTATCTTCTACAACATTATAAAGTCTATATCATGTATTATTTATTTCTGTTATTTCTCTCCTACCCACTTAGTTTATTCTATGCATGCTTTGTTAGATTTCCTTTTAACTATATTTGTTAACAGCCTAACACGTTGTCCCTTTAGCTTCAAAAGGTCGTAGTTTCCCAGTTCATCCAACTGTTGATACATCATGCCCATTTAGAGAAGATTTGACCTACACATCTGGCCTATTTCCACCACACCCTGTTTTGTAAGACCGCATATGACCGACCCTAGTATTTGCTTGCCCATTTTTATTGTAACTGGTTTTATGCTGGTTCTCAAAAAAAATTATTTTATTGTAACTTTCTTCTTTTCCCAAGACTTGAGAGTGGATAAGTAAGCAGTAATATCCAAAGAATGCGATGGATTTGTCTATTTCAACCTATCAGCTTTGCAGGTCTGTTAGCACATTGTAGGATGTGCGATTTTTACTTCATGTTATTTGTCCTTAATGTCAAACAAAGGACACTTGACCCAAAGGGTGGAACTTTTGGCAAGCGGCTACATCTCATGAAGTGGAGGGTGTTGAACTTGAAACTCTTTTCCTCCGGGTAGCACTCCACCTAGACTAATATTATTGATGCATGTTGACGGTTGCTTACAATGTGCAGTTAAGCCAAAGTTTTGGATATTTCTCTGGCAATAAATAAATTAAAAAAAGAAGAAAAAAAAGAAGAAGAAGGATTCATTGACATATTGCTAAAAAAAAAATTAAAGACACTTTAAAAAAAAAACGGATGAACCATCTTTGGTAAATGGAGTTCATGGAGGGATTGAAGGATGCTACCAGGGCTTGGAGGTGGCCAATACCTGGTGCTAGGCCTTTAGTTGACAACTTAGAGAGGAAAAAACTAAAGTTTTGCTGCAATAAAAGCTTGTGCTTTTGAATGAATTTTCTTTTGTGAAGCAGGACTGCTATTCTCATTTCTTTTCAGTATTAATTAGTCCACTATCTAACTAATTAGTCATATGCAAAGAAAGATGTGGAAATTCGGAGAATGTGAATATTTTATTCTTCGGCATGTTTGATATTTTTTTTTTTCTGTGTCTCAAAATTTTCAGGTCTCATTATAATTTGGATCTCCAGAACATTGCTGTCAATGGCCAATTGTTGCCTATTGATCCAGCAGTGTTTGCAACATCAAGCAACCGAGGAACCATTGTTGATTCTGGAACAACTTTGGCATACCTGGTGGAAGAAGCTTATGATCCTTTCGTCAATGCTGTAAGTTCGTTTTCCCTTTCTTTTCTTCAGAATTTCTATTTTATGGGAGGGGACAAAATCAAGGGAAACTTGAGGCATATAAACTGGAGCAAATTTCCAAAAAGCCCTTTAAACAGCATTTATGTCTAAGGTGCTAGGGAAAAAACCACATTAATGTGTAAGGTATACTAAATAGTTGTACAAGGCCCCTTTTGGTCAAGCAAAATATTGTAGAAAATGTAGGGAATATATATTTAAAATTTTTCAGGAATTTGGTTAGGAAGGGAAAAGTTTTCTGGAAAATAGGAACCTTGTAATTGCATAATTTCTAGAAAACATGACTTATATTTCCCTGCAAAAACATGCTTTTTTCTTTTTGCTCGTGAAAGTGATCTCTACTATTTGGATTCCCACTTTTTCCTTTCTTCCTATAATTGACATCTCTCCCATGGACATGAATAAAGGTTAGTTAATGCAAATAAAAAATATTATTTTTTAACTTCCATAATATTCAGACAGTAAAATCTAATTTTGTCGTAATATTCTGGATAAATTTTCTACCCAACCAAATGCATGTTGGAAGTTATTCACTTTGCTTGGTTTTGGTTTCTAGAATTCACTTTTCAAAAAAATCATATTTTTTTGTTTTTCGTATTTTTTTATTTTCACTGAATTTTTTAAATATTTTAAGTAATTTTTTTTTTAAATTTTTGGAAACATCTACATAAATACACTTGAAAAGTATAATTTTTGTGAAAAAAAATATTTAAAAAATTCACTAAATACAAAAAATAAAAAAATACGAAAGCTCAGTATATTTTTCGTATTTTTGTGTATTTATTAATTTGTTAAAATATTTTTTCACAAAAATTTTACTTTTGTAGATATATCTGAGTAAGGTGCATCTAAAAAAGTAAAAAAATTGCTTAAAATTTTAAAAATTTTCACTAAAAATAAAAAACACGAAAAACAAAAAACTCAATTTTCAGAAAATTGAATTTAGAAAATTGAAACCAAACACATTGACAATTTTTCTTTTCATTTTCCATTCATTTATTCACTTTATTTTTTTTCTTTTTCTTCCCCTTTATGTGGGTATCTATACCGTGCCCGATACGTGGCGAGCCCTGTGGGCTTCGCATCATCACTGTCAGCATCTCCACGTGCAAGACCCCAAGGTTCCACAATGTCCTTATCGGATTAATTGGGATTGTATGCCTAGCTTAAGCAGGGGCATGTACTGCTTACTACTATCATAGTCATCACTTGGCAACTGGGCCTAAGCATCCATTGCTCGGGACCATTGGAGGATTGTGGATTGGAGGATGAGATCACAAGTTTGTCAAGGTTGCTTGATTTGCTTCCCAAGGGAAGAAAACTTGTCCTTGACTAGTCTTAGAGAGAGGAGACATTGACTTAGCAAGCATCCAACACCTTGAGAGAAGCATTATATATGCGGTATGCCATGACACACCCTCTAAGGTATCATATCTACCTCTGTAGCTCCCATGATACAACGTTCTGTAAGTCTGAATCATGAGACGTAGTGATAGGCCTAGTACCTCCACTCTGTCTATATGTGATTTGGGCTCCAATACTCTGATCTATAAAAGGGGTATTCATGCATGTACTCACACAACACAAAATGATCATTTATTTCCATTGCTCAGGTGATTAAGGTCTCTCACTGCTTTCTCCTTCGCCGCCTCCTCGATCCAAAGGTCTTTGGCCATTGAAGTGCCCACCATCTTCCCAGAAGTCCACAACCACAATGGACCACCTCTCATACCTAATATTCACACTTTCTAGCCAAACAAAGCTTGAAAACCTGAGAACAAGAACAGGGCATTCATATTTGGCTTTGCAAGCTTGATTCTTACCGTAACATGGATTCTAGTTAGGGATGGCAATTTGAACCCAGCCCGACAGGGACCCTACCCCCCGTCCCCGATAAGAGTGGTTTTTTTGGGGAAAATATCCCCGACGGGCCAGGGATAGTATTTGAAATTGAATCCTTGATCAGTTTCGGGCCAGGGACGGGAATAACTTTCACAGCCCCGTCCTCATCCCCATTTCTCTCTGAAATAAAATTACCATAATACCCCTTCATTCATTCATATATATATAACCCCCTCATTTGTTAATATTCCTCTGATCTGTCTCTCTCTCACTCCCTCTCTCTCTCTTCTCTCCGCAGTCGGCGATTGGCGATGGCGTCGTACGCAGTCACCCTCGCCTCCTCTTCCATCGCCTCTCGCCGCCTCCTCCTCCGTCACCTCTTGCCGCTGCCTCCTCCTCCCTCCGCCACGGCAGATCTGAGAAGATCCTGCCACTGCCACCGTTGATTCCCTTTTTCTCATATCTCACATCTCAGATCTGAGAAGATCCCACCACTCAGATCTTATGTATGTGTGTATATGTGTGCGTCTCTAAGTATCTGCCTCTATCTGTCTCTATTTTTTTTTGATGATGATGTTGTTGTTGATGTTTATTTCTGAAAGATTGTTGATGATTTATTTCTGAAAGAGAGAGACAGTTACGGGGATTTTCTGGGGTCGGGGAAACCCGATCCCTGTTAGGGGGCGGGGGCGGGGGCAGGAGAGGAATGGGTTCCCCGTCGGGGATCGGGGACGGGAAGGGGGATTTTGTAGCTTCGGGGATCGGGGACGGGGAGTGTGATCCCCGGCCCCGCCCTGGCCCGTTGCCATTCTTAGTTCTGGTTACGAAAAGTTGATTACACATTCGTGCAGAGGGTTTTCTGGATGGGTCATTTTGATAGTGTAACTCTGTTCCCTGGTCCATAATGAGGCTTTTGTAAATTGGGAAAGAACCTATATCTGCTGTACGCTGTACTTCTAATTCCTGAGCTAGTTGCCATTACCCAAGTATCCAAACAGTTCTATATTGGTTGTTTCAGTAAGTTGACAACAATAGAACTATTTAAAATCCATCTAAAGGTTAAACATCATTTTGTCTTTATTGTTATAATCAACTTCATACACTGCATGGCCTTTTAATAGGCATTGGGTGAAATGCTTTTATTTTTGGTTTTTGTTAATGAATGCCCCAATTGCACTCGTTAGCAAGCTTGAAATGCTTGTACATTCTTTATGAAAGTGTCTGCCGAAAGGAATGTGCCACCATTGTAAGCTTTGTTAACCACTACTCTTAGGGTACTTGCTAACACAACCCTTTATTGAGGGACAAACTAGTGAATATCAAAATTTCTCTATTAAAAATTATATAAAACTAGTGATAGTTTGGAAGTACTAGAGGCAAGATTATTTGTTTTTATCTTTTAGAAAATTTGTGCCAATCTAATTTGAAGCTTATTTGCTTATTGACTGTGCAGATAACTGCCGCTGTTTCACAATTTGCAACACCCATCTTTTCAAAAGGAAACCAGTGTTATCGAGTACCCATCAGGTTCATCCCGCAGATGATTTTTCTGATATTTGTTTGGAACTCATTTATAAGAATAAATAGTATTACATGATTGTTTAGACACCTGAAATGATCCATATTTGTTCATATGCAGTATAACTGAGATTTCCTTCGGTTGCTTTTAACTTTGCTGGTGGTGCATCCATGGTTTTAAGACCAGTAGACTACCTTGTACATGATGGTTTAGTTGTGAGTTCTCAAAATTACATCATTAATTGAATTTCTCCTTTCTCCATACTTTTTGAAATAGACGTGACTAATTTCATTTTTTTTACAGTGATGAAACGTATCAAGCTTCATTTGTTAATCTTAAATTGGACAATTCATTGTGACAGGATGGTGCTGCAATGTGGTGCATTGGCTTTCAGAAAACTCAGGATCAACTGGTAACTATTTTAGGAGGTTGGTTCCAGCCCTAAAAGATATATTTTACTGGACAGATATGTTGGCATAGTGTAGTGGCTTAAGCATAAGATAACTTGCTCCTACCCCCCATGCCCTCATCTTTGGTGAGCAGTATTTAGCAGGTTTTTAGTCATTCCATTTTAGTGTAAGGCTATTTAGCAACTCAAAAATCTCCATATGGCACATGGGATGACACAACCTGTTCTAAATGCAACTAGGCATTTTTTTATTTTTTATTTTTTATTTTTTTGGTGATAAATATAATGTGACTAGGCATTTTGTCAAATTGGATTGGGATCACAGCTAGTTGCTTGCTGCTCATCAGGCCGTCTTTTTTGTTTTTTTTTTTTGTTTTTTCAAGTAAACTTGTACTGCAATAAGTTTCTAATTTGCTTTTCCTATTTTGTTTTTGTGTATTTATTTAGTATTCCTATTCTTTTTGTTTAATTATCATATCTATGCATGCATATATTTAGATGGTCATATATATTATGAGTATCAATATTCAATAGCATGGGGGGATAATTGTGCACCGGGGGATAATTGTGCACATGAGTTTATTGCATGTTTGGTATTGTTTTTGTTTTCTGTTTTATTTTCATTTTCTGGAAAACACAGAAAACTTGTTTAGCTATCCGTTTTTGAAAAGTGTATATAAAAAAATTCTGAAAACAACCCATTTTAAGGAAACCCCCAAACGCGATTTTTGCACAAAAAATCAGAACAATGGATGTATTTGAACTTTTGATTGTTTGTGTGTCCGGAAACACACAACAATAATAAAATAAGGAAACAAAAATGATACAAAACAGGTTTTTTTTTTTTTTTTGGTGTGCTGTCCAGTGACTTTTGTTGATTTGTCATGTGAAAAAAAAATGTTACCTTAGGGAATGTCATTATAACATTAGACAATCCAAGTTTCTAAATTGGGTACGAGTGTTGAACACATATCCCACACTCATACCCTTGTCATATCCGGTGCATATGAATACACTAGCAAGTAGAAGAGTCCATATAACATGTTAGGTTAGCAAAACCAAAGCATAGATTATACATATAGCGTTGGTTGCAGGTGTCCAGTTATTTCAGGTAAGTTTATGGTTTTTATTTCTTCACTCATTGTAAACCTTATGGCTGCCAAGTTTGCTTAATTGAAAGACTGCATTGCACTCCAGTTTGTGCAATATGGCATTTTATCTTTCTTCTCTTTGGTCTCTGAGCATTCTTGGTATCAAGAAGCTTTCTCTGCAGAAATTCCTCTTTATTGCACATATTCTACTCTGTTTGCATCCATGTGTGTGTGCGGGCATGCTTTAAAGTTCGTCGACATGGAAATACATTATAACGTGTGGCTTGAAATGGAACCTGAAATCCTTGATCAATCATTAAAGAGGACACCTTTAATTATTTATTTATTTATTTTGATAAATAGGACACCTTTAATTATTTGAAGCAATGTTTTGAAAATCAGACCGGACCGGCCAGTTCGACCGGTTGAACCGTCGACCGGTCTATGGTCCGGTCCGGATATACCCTCTAACCTGTTCCCTCTTGAAAATTGGTCATTTTAAGCTAAACCAGTGCGAACCGCAGTTAAACCTCTAAATTGGACGAATCGGCTTGGGTTGAAGCAAACCGGACTGGTTTGCTATGTTTGGTCCAATATTGAAAAAGTTGATGTTAAAGGGACTTGAATCCAATACCTCAAGCTCCACAGAGCATGAATTTCCACTCTACCACCATGGTTTCTTGTTAATATATAGAAAATATATAATATTAATTGTATTCAAACTAATTTCCCTCAAACACATGTATAATTAATATTTTACAAACAATATTAATATAAAAATATATATAAACATATATGTTTGATGAATATATATATATATATATATATATATTTAAATTATAAAAATATTCATAAAATAATTATGACATCACGGTTTGATTCTGGTTCAACGCGACAGTTGAACTAGTGACCCGTTCATCCGATCCCTTTTCAGGTTCGCTCACCATTCTGGTTTTTAAAACATTGACTTGAAGCTTTTTTAGGTTTTGACCACAAGTGTTCTTTCTTAGGTTTTCTAACGACTAATGATTATTTCTCCATTGAAAGTTGCTGAATTATTTGTAGTATTTTCCTTCATAAGTCCTCTTTTTATAAGTGTTTTCCTTCTCAAGTGCTGTCAGCAAGTACAACACTATGTACTGCAGGTGAATGAACAGGAACATAAAACAACCTTTTACGGAACAAAAAAGGCCAATCCTTGCGTGCCCTGATCCCAAAACCCTGTGATACGCTGTACATGGTTGTCAAATTCTTGATACAGATTGTAGGATCTTACGATCCTATGACCTCAATTTAGCTACACTATCTGAATTGCACTAGGATCTTAAACTTTTTAGAGTCTTAGGAGCTGTGATTCTAAAATCGTATAGAAGCACTACAATCCTGATTCTACTATGATTTGATCCTACCAAATTTTTACTTATTATTTGTTTCGTATATATGTATGTGTATATATATCAAAATTTTAATCAAAACTCTCTCTGCAAATGTCTCCTCTTATGAAATTTTCAATTTGCAAACTTCAAGATTGTGAAAACTTCTCTTTACTAATAGAACAAGATTTCTTCAAATTATTTGAATTAAAATGTTTGGAAAGGGATTTGAAAGTTTTGTCTCTCTAAATCAAAGTTAGTGCATTCAATTTAATATTTGAATAAAATTGTTTGGAGGGAGAGCTGGAAGCTTGATTTCCCTCTAAAATCAATATTAGTGACCATTTTATCAATTTTTATTAATAATAGATATTTTTAGTGAATGTTATATAAAAATTTGTATTAGTATATTATTTATCTTTAATGATTTTAAAATTATGTAACATACAATATCATTATTGATATTTTTTCACTTTATTTTGTACTAAAAGTAGAATCTTATGATCCTCGATTTGACTCTATGATCCAATCCACATTGTCCTCCCAATGATCCCATATAAGATCCCCATTTTTAACAACCTTGATGCTATAGGTAAGAGATTGTTTTGTACGTGAAGGAATATGAAGCTTCCATTCTTAGAAAGATGCTTTGGTGGGTCAGTGTATGAGGTTTAAAGACCTATAATGGTCGTGTGTGTAGTTGGTGTCTCATGTAAGATTTCATCTTGCAACTTGATCAACCACCCTTGACTCTAAAATATGCACTTGGCTTAGCAAAAATCTCACTCAAATTTTCAGTCTCAAATGAAAATCATTTACTAAATGATCTATTTTTGGCTAATTCTTCTTATCGAACCTTGCTCATTAAATTTGATGCATCTAGGTAACATTGAGCCTTATCGTTGTGTGTTAAATTCTTTTGTGCTTCTCTCCAGCTTTGCATATGTCATGGCTATTAGAAACATAAGAAAGAAATAAATAACATCTTTTACATTGTCCATGAGTATACACCGTTTCTACCAATTTTATGTTTCATTTACCCCTGAAGCTTGCAAATTGTCAAAAGCATTGAGGTTTAGTTGCCTCACACGCTCACCTTTTAACATTGAGATTAATGAACTCATTGGCTTCTTTTTGCAGATCTTGTTCTTAAAGATAAGATTTTTGTTTATGACTTGGCTCATCAACGGCTTGGGTGGGCTGATTTTGATTGTAAGTCCATCGGAACTCCATCTTTTTTTTCTTTCAAAAATGAACTCTCATAATTTATTTGAGTCTCTCTTATTCAGGTTCATTGTCTGTAAATGTCTCCATAACTGCTAGCAAGGATGAATTCGTCAATCCCGGACAGCTGAGTGTGAGCGGCTCATCAAGAACCATGCTCTTGAAGTTGGCATTACTCACTTCATGCATATATCACTTTTTATCGGATTTCTCTTATTGTAGCTTAAAATCATCCTCTAAAAACCTTATTATTTGCTTGATATCTATTGACTCTACTGGTTTTTATTATAGTAATCAGCAGGGCAATCTGGTTACTGGTGAATGAGACCACTTCCGTTTTCCAATTCTGAATAGGAATCGACTTTCTATGATGAAAGCTCTGTCATTGTAAATTGTCTCCATGCTCCTTGGTTCGAGGGTTTTTGAATGAAACTGCCGTCATTGAAGGTGGAACAAGACCTGTTTGAAGTGATTGCTTTCAAGTTGGCAAGAATTGTAGAAATACGGTAAGTCTTTTGTAAAGTTGGTTTGTTTTTGTTAGAAACATTTGTGAACTCTCTTTTCTTTTTTCGTTTTTTTTCTTTTATTTTATTTTCCCCCGTTTCTTAGTTTAGGCACAAAATACGGTTATAGCTAATCGATATTTGAAATGAAATATGTGATGTGTAAAAGATTATGAAGCCATAATAAAATTTACTGTTTAGTATAACAATTTTTATGTTCATGCATTTCTCTCCCTCTCTCTCTAAGCATAACTTTGGCAAACACCAAACATTTTAGCTTTTACAAATAAGAAATGGAATTTAAAATGACAGAAAAAAAGTTAATATAAGACTTGGCTAATAATCTTTAAATTCTTCGCTATTTTTTTAGCTTTAAATTCATGTTTCCCAATTTTAGTACCTTGAATTTTTTTTGATAAATCTTTTAAGTTAAAAAAATGCTTTTCTAGTAAAAAAATTATAAAATTTTCAAGATTCCTTTACAAATAAGGTTATCAGCAAAGAGTCATAAAAATGCTTTTCTAGTCTTTTGTGTTCTTAAACTTGCTGTTAACATGGTCTATTTGTTGGTTGACAAGATTTATGTAATCTGGTTTTGTTATAGAATGGGTATGTCTGTTACAAATAGTCACCCTTAATTTAGCTTTATTTAAAATTAAAAAATAATTAAGAAAAAATTATAGAATTCAAATTCATTTAAAATTTATAGACTATTAATATTGGTTTTCAATAATATGTTGCAACTTTATTCATTAGAATGATATTTTCATTCCAATTTGTTTTGCTAATTTATTAACAACAATGATTCATCCCATTAAAAATATCACCACTAATAGCACTAATGCATTAAAAAAGTAAAAAAAAAAAAAATACAATTCCAAGATCAAAATATCACATCATTAATGACGGGACTCACTGCCACCTAACTAGTGGGAGCACTAATTAGTGCTCCCAAGCATTTTTCAATTTATTAAACAATGAAAATCCTTAAGAATCTTAACTCAAAATAAATAATATGCCATGATGACATTTTCTTAACAAGGGTTGAGGGCGTGATTTCCAATTAAGCGGGTCAAGTCACATTTTTTTTTTTATTTTTTATGTAAGTGTCCATTGATCAATGTAGTAATGCTACATACGCACAGGGAAAAAAAATTATAGAAACATTTGCAAAAAAAAAAAAAGAAAAAAAAAAAGAGTAAATTATAAATACATTCCTTGAGATTTGCTTAAAATACGAATTGTCTCTTGTGATTTAGAAAATTACAAATACCTCTCTGTCGGAATTTTTTATTCAACAGAATTAATTGAAAAAATAAAATTTCTAACTGTTCACCTATACAATAATAAAATTATCTGAATTATTAATTAAAATAAAATTTTAACATTATTAAAAACTGTTAATTAACTTGATAATTTATTAATAAAATGACCTATTTGTTATGAAATTAGAAACCATAAGGGACATAATATAATTTCTAGAACCACATGGGGTAATTTGTAATTTAAGTAAACCTCAGGGGATGTGTTTGTAATTTATCCAAAAAAATAATGTGTGGCTCACGTTCATTTTAGGTTATGCTCGCGAGGTCTGTCTGAGATTTGCTTGAAATATGTGGAAGGGGGCACTTTTGCGTGGGTCTCGTCATTAGTTGAGGTGCACATAAATTGGTTTGGACATCCGGTTATTAAAAAAAAAATACATATATATATATATATAGAGAACCACATTCAAAATAAATTTTGGCTATAATTGGTGGAGAAGGTGGAGTATTAACTATTTGTGTCGGGTGATTGAGGAATATAAGAAATATAATGAATGGTGATTGGTGATAGAGTATGGCCACATGGTACTCCGCGTCTATTGGTGATAAGTCGATTTGTACAAGGCTGTGATATTAGGTCCAATAATTGATCTTTTGTTCTAAGCACATGATTAATGAAATTGATTTTTCTTTTCTTTTCTGATGAAGTCCACTTTCCTGAGTATAATATTTGCCCCCTCTTGATAATGTACACCATCGAGTTTATAGTAAATTTGCCTTATTTACCAATTAGAAAATTCTTGATTAAAGGGCTAGTTTGATAATTGACTATTTTAATTGACTTTTTATGTAAAAATGTATAGAAAATGAGAGAAAGAGAGTAATGTGACAACAAATAGTGACTTTTTGACTTTTTAATTATTTTAACTTATTGACAAATCAAAATCAAGAGAAAGAGAGATTAAATTGCAGAATTCATCAATGGTTTGGATTGGCTAGATCTGACCGTCGTTGGATTGATCATCTACAATGTCACTGTTGCACATAGATGATTGTTCTTCATGTCATTGTTGCCACGTTGGCCAACGGTCAGATCATCTACATTGCAGATTTGGTCTCACACTAAAGAATTGATTTTTAAAATGATATTAAGAGGTGGTTTGGAATGATCTAAGTAATTACATTTTTTGACTTTTTATGAAATATGGGTTGGATATGGATTGGATTTGAAGTAATGTGGTAGAGAGGTGATATAACTTAAATAAGATGATGTGACTTAAATAAGATAGTTATTTTTTGACTTTTTTGAAGGATGCTATACCAGTCGTAATTCTAATCATAATTAGTGGAATATGGACAATTTAGATAATTTAATTATTTTTAGTTGACGGTGCTAGATAGTAGCGGTGGCTATGGACTAGGAAATGAATGAGAGGAGGGGTAGTAGAGAGTTGGAGAAGGGTAGAAATAGCAGTGGACAGGAAAAAGGAATGACGCGGTGGCAATGGGTTGGGAAACATAAGGGGTGATGATGGACAACAATAAAAAGTAAGAGATAGCTCTGAACAATAATGAAAGGGAAATAAGTGGTTAAATTGTCTAAATTGTCCATGATACAAATGGATGTTTATAATTGATATTATTTTAAAAGTGGCCTTCCTTTGTGTGTAAAATTCTAGGAAAATTACTCATTTAATTCTAAAGTATTATGTGATATTATTTAATTTAAATAAATCACATAGTTAAAAACCTTATGAGTAGTGACATGCTAACTAATCTTTAGTAAGTATTTGGAAAATAAAAGCTCCGTTTGGTGGAACTTTCAAAATATAGTTTCACACTCATTTTTGAAAACTCTTTTCAAGGCAGAAAATTTGGGCTAACCGGTCGTCCGACCGATTGATCGGTTAGTTGACCGGAACAGTGTTCGGTTTTTTTTTTTTTTTTTTGCACCTGTTATTTTTATATTACAAAAACAAAATTATTTGTGAATTTTTTTTAAATTTTTTTATGAGTTTTAAATAGAATTTTGGATTGTGTGTTTGGTTATGAGTTGTAAGTTTTTGTATCAAATATCATATGTCACATCACTCAATTCAAACTCAATTTAAAACTCTTTTCAAAACTCATAACCAAACAAAATTTTCACACTTAAATTATAATTCCAAAACTCACAAATTCAAAATACAACTCTATTCTCAAATCATAATTCTAAAATTCTACCAAACACTACCAAAGAATAATTTACTTAATTAGTGTTTATATCATGACTTTGAATAAGTATACAAACTATTTACCTTAATTTTTTTATTTATTTTAAATTTCTATCTAAATTTATAATTCAAACATAATGTTATTGTGTATTTTAATTTTTTATTACTGATAAAATGTTTAATAATTTTCTCAAATTCTAATTCTAATATATATGGAAGATAAAAGACAATAAATTATTAAATAATGGTACCAATGATATGGCATCCGCTATAAAAGTGTATTTTTTTAAAAAAAATTTAATCTTTTTTGAGTCATTGCACATCTCGACTTTTTTACACATTTTTTTTATAAAAAGTTTAAAAATATATTTATTTAGATCACCCAAAATACCCTCATAATATCATTGTTGTATCATTTTGTTTTCATGTTCAGTTTGTTTAGGTAGAAAATATTTTTAAAAAATATTTTCTATATTTTTTGGTTTTTGGTACAATAAAAAACGAAAGTTAACAAAAAATATTTTTTATGATTAACAGAAAATATTTTCCGTTTTTTAAAAGTTAGAAAATACTTTTCCAAACTAAAATTTTACCAATATCACTACATTACCAATGTCACTCTCACCTCTACCTCCACCACCACACCACCATCGCCACGACCCACCATCATTGTTTTACTATTGCTGCCGCTCACCACTATGCCACTACCTTCCTTTCACCACCATCACCACCGAGTATAAAAATTATTTTTTAAAAAAAATATTTTCTATTTGGCATGTCAAACTCCCTGCACTCACTATCGTGAATATTTTAGTAGTCAAACACTCCGAACTCCCGCGTCATCCAAATCCCCAACAACGGCAGCGCCACATGATGCTCTAACAGAGTTATGTTGATGCCCAACAGAGTTATGATTAATGAATTATGAAAGAGATAAGATTCATGAATTTGTGTTGAGTAGTTGAAAAATATAAAAAGATATGATAAATTATAATTAGTGAGAGACATGGTTACGTGAAGCAACTAATAAATTTTTCAGCAAGTACACATTTCTTTCGCATCACGTTATTACAAATGTTTGTGGTTGGGTTTTTAATGTGTTTGTTTGGTTGATTTTTAAAAAATTATTTTTAGGTGAATTTTTATTTTTATAATATTTTAATTAATTTTTTAATACTTTTTAAATTTAATTAATCAAGATGCATTTAAAAAGTAAAATAAATAGACTAAAAATATTTTAAAAATTATTAAAAACAAAAAAAAATTTGTGTTTATTTTTATTCGGATCTTCGTTTGTTTTTAATTAATTTTTTTAAAAAACTTTTTTTTAAAAAAAGAAAAAAAACTTTTACATGCATCTAATCTTGATGTATCTAGAAAAGAAATTTTTTTTGACTAAATATGATAAAAAGTTCAGTAAAGACAAACAAAAACCTATCTAAAAATAATTTTTGGAAATTGTAACCAAAGAAAACCAATTAGTCAATTTAAAAAAAAAAAAATTCAAATCTTCTTTGCACTTTTAAGTTTTAATCAACTAAATGAAGGAAAAATTAAAAAAAAAAAGGAAAAAAAATCCATGAACCACCAAAAAAAAAAAAGAGAGAGAGAAAATCCAAAAACATTTGTCTTTTTTTGTTTTTTTTTTCTCTCTCTTTAGCGATTTTTTTTTTGAATTTTTTTTAGATTCATTGAAAAATAAAACTGTTTGATATAATTTTGAAAAATATTAGTAAAGACAATAAATAAATAAATAATGTGACTATTAATAATAGGTATCTCAAATATTCTACATAATCTCTCACACTGACCCCAAATATTTTACATAGCCTCTTGTATATATAAATTTCTTGTCTCCAAAAATAAATATAGAAGAATAGAATAACAAATATAAATTTATTAATTTAAAATAAAATAGGTACAATCTCTGATTAAAATTCTAATTAAAAAAACCATTTGATTCTTTTTTTCAATAAGTTGGTTCAAGGGTTTGATAGTTTGTTCCCAAATTGACCGGCGAAATCTCAATGAAGAATTTGTAGAACTTTGATTTGAGGGTTCGACAACTTGTTTCCAAATCAAATTTGTAGAATTCTCTCCAATTTAGTAAAAGACGGCCATAGACTTGTTGAGTTGGATGACGAACTTTAATTTGATCCTTCAAGCTTTATACTTTATGGAAATTGATAAGTTTTGGCGAAAAGACCTCAGTGCTTTAGAGCTTTAATCCAACGGAGATTTCTCTTACTTGATATAAAATTTTCTCTCTAAAACTTGATTTTGTATATGTAGAATTGTGTGTAAAGTTTGTATGTAAAATTTTGGTAGAGATCACCCTATTTATAGGCATGGCTGGAGAAGAGTCTTAATAGATTTCAACTTCTTTGATAATTATCTATGATTTATTTAGAGATAAATACCAAAATATCACTTTAATAGTGTAACATAATTTTATTGACTTGATCACCTCAATGTGATAAATGGCTTAATTTGATTGGTCCAAGACTTGTCATCTTGAAGACTCTATCATTTTGACATGTGACGGCTTGTGATTTGACCATTCATGTAATCTTAGATTAAGACCAAATAAATACATAGCAATATTTGATTTTGTTGGAAAATAATGGGTTTTCGACAACTCTAATTTGAAATTAAAGTGGGATCCAATCGCTAGTTGAGGTGGATCTGAGTGGTTTTATATTATCTTAAATGAGAAGATTGCAATACAAAAATAATGAGTCGAAACCATTGAGTTGTGAATAAGAATTGTCTCTTAAAGTGGGCATCAATAAAGTTGGACTTAAATTTGGACTGGGCCTAGGCTTGTGCTTGTGAATATGTTGGGTTTGGTCTTGGACTTAGACTTGGACTTAATCTTAAGCTTGGGCTAAGCTATTACCTTGTGCATATGTTTGAGAATTGGGCTTGGATCGAGTTGTAACTCAACATTAGTATCCATTTTATGACCCATCTAGAGACTGCTTGACAAATTTCAAAAGGTTGACAAATAGGATGTGCCTTGCTTTGACAACAAATTTTCAGATGCCCTGGCAACGCAAGGGGCAAGAGTTGACATCCCAGAAGAGGAGGCCACAATTGTTATAAAAAAGATAACGGAACCTTCAGTAGTACCCAAGAACAAAGACATTCCGAAGGACTAGAGAAAAGAAGTCCTCGAATAACTCAGAAGCAAAGTCAGAAAGTTGACTATGGCTAAGCTTGCACAATTTAAAATTATTCGGGGTGAACTTTACTTCTGGGGAAGTAGCGGATTCTTGGCCCGGTGCGTTGACCAAGAGGAGTCAAACTTCTAGCTACAACAAATTCATGAAAAGTTCTACGGAGATGGGGATATTAGTCTGTATCAAAGGATCCAAAGATAGGGCTACTACTGGCCCGAGATAGAGAAAGCCTCGAACCAAGTACAAAAAGAATTCCCCAAGTGCCAGTCATACATCTAGGAAAATACGAGTTGCTTTGAGATTGATACCCCTTATTGGAGACAAGTCTATATTGACTATCTCAAGAAGAGGACACTATAGGGCCAATCTCCCCAAATGGATCCTCACAACCACGGAGTAGAGCACAAAATGGGTGGAGGCAATCCCCTTGAAAAATGCAACGGGGCTTGTGGTTGCAAACTTCATCAAGGAAAATATCATCTGTAGGTTCGGAGTGCCAAACACCATATCCTTTTAGACAATGGCACACCCTTCATAAACAAACATGTGAAGAGCCTTCTAGGAGACTTACCAAGTAAAGAATCACAAATCCACTCCCTACTACCCCATAGGGAATGGGCAAGCAGAGGCCACGAACAAGATCTTGATCAGAATCCTGAGTAAAATGATGGATGAGTTCAATGGGACTTGGTCTGAACAGTTAATAGTTACTGTATGGGCATATCGTACCTTGAAGAGAAAAGGACTCAAGCAACTCCTTACTCCCTTGTTTATGGGTCTGCAGCAGTGTGTTACTATGGAACTAGAGATGCCATCTGCCCAAATGGCCATCGCCTCAAGAATGGTGCTTAAGCCTTGAACTACCAGACTTGAAGCATTGGAAGAAAAGCAAGACAGGGCCGCGAAAGTCATGGAAAGATATCATTAGTCCATCACCCGAGCTTATAATCAGACAATGGTGCCAAGAAGGTTCGAAGAGGGTGATCTAGTCTGGAAGATTGTCGACCCAATCAAGCGAGGACAACCTTTGGCCAAGTTCCCCCCAAAATGGGAGGGGCCCTATGGGGTGATCCAAGCAAGCTCGAGTGGGTACTACAGGCTCGTGAGAGTTGAAGACAGCTTCCGAATAGGCCCGCTCAATGCAAAGTTTATCAAGCGTTATTACCCATAAATTGACTCATCTATGTTAATGCCCATTTTCATTCTTTTACTTTGTCTAAAAGTTTTATCTTGCTTGTTATGAAGAAAGTTTGTTGCCATTCTAATTTATATGTCTGTTGCATCACTTGAGATGAAAATTTTGTATTTCTGCTAAGAAAGTTGAGAAATTAATGAGAACAGTTCAGTTTTTTATTTTTTATTTTTATAAAAAATGTGCTTGTGATTGTTCTTTCCTTTGCATCATTCAAGATAAATGTTTTATCAAGTAGAATGAGAAAACAATAAGAAAGCTTCCAAAACTTTGCTATTCCAATGCATTGTCCTAGATATAAAAAAATTTATCGAAAGGGGCAAGAAAACAATGAGAATGGAACAAACAAAAAATAAATAAAAAAAACATACCAGCACTCAGAGGAAGTCATACCTACATAATACTCGAAAAAACTCAATCTTTTCTGAAGACGCCCTCAAAAAAACTGCATGTCACATCTACATCCGGAGGATAGGCGGTGGAGTGTTCCTCTAAAACTGCCAAGGCTTGAGCATATCCCGCCTCAAGCTCACGAAGAGTCGCCTTTGTTTCATCTATAGAAGTCTGATAAGAGCCAAGCACAGACAAAAACTCCACCCGATGACTAGCATTCGAGGCTATATCCAGGCGCCTTCGAAGCCATGATAGATTTACCTGATAACGCTCCATATCTGAGATCCCCTGATATGCTGTCTCAACTACCTTCTCATTAAGGTCACACAATCGTTGCTGATCCAAGCTATACAGGATAGTAACAAATGACTCGAGAAGAGTAGTTTGAATCAGTGGGGATTGACAAGCAAAGAAAGCAAAGGTCTCAGGGTAACTCGAATGCACAAGCTGTAGAACTGAGGCAAACTCAGGAGCTACCCAATAGTGGAGAAAAGGTACTTTGCCAGAAATCGGGGGTGGAGCTGGGGCAGAGAAGTTGTTAGTTTCAGGAACCTCTCCAATCTCTATCGGGTAAGATGAACCACACAGAGAGGAAACCTCGGGGAGAAAACTCGAGCCTGAAAATGCGGTCTGATAAGGGGAAAGACTAAAAGTATCGCTATCAAAATGGAAGTTGCTAACATTCAAATCCAAAACATTCACGGGCACTTGCAATGGAGAGCCCCTAGCAATCGTCTCAAAGGCAGATATGCCCCCTCGAGAAGGAGAGCCATGAGGAGTCACAAAGAGAGTCAGAGCAGAGTCTGAGGCAAGTGAAGGCAAGACCCCGGTAGCAGCTAACACTGAAAAAAGAAGGGAACTCTATCAAAGGCAGGGAACAGTAAGATAATTTGAGTAAGAAACTCTTACAAATGAAAATACTTAACAAGCTCCAGAGAGTTGGATTACTTGATGGAGGATCATTATGCGGAGCCAGGGCAACTGAATCAAGTGGAGCATGAGGAATCCAAACATCAAAGAAACCACTCGACTGTACGGAGGGACTGCAACTTCTAAATAAGAATTTGTATATTTTTTTAATTAGTTTTTTGCAATGTATATCATTTAAATTTTAATTTTTTCGCTATTGAGATAAAAAAATTATTTATTAAATATTATTATTTTTTTATTTGGGGGCAAATCGATTTTTAGGATATAATTTGGGGGTAAAATAAAGTTCTAAATAAAGATTGATACCACTTCAACAAGTTCCATTTGATTGTAGACGAAAACAGATAGTGGAGGTTAAATTGATCAAATTTTAAGAAGTTTAGGGATCAAATAAAAATAATAATGGTAAGGCTGGATGTCAAATTGAAAAACGTGTAATAATTTGGGAGCAAAATGATATTTCCTATTTTATTTTATAATTTGCAGTGGGAGTGTGAGTTGATGACATTTTTATTTAGAGGAAACTGTAACTGAGTTGTAAGAGATATATACTTACCTAAGCCTTTTTCCGTTGAGGTTGTTGAGGTGGTCCTCTTGATCATCAATTCTAGGACTTCCACTGGGTCCTACTGCCGTTGCATCGTAGTAATTGTCGTTGAGGTCGAGGTCGCGTTTTCTCTTTGATGTAGTAGCACTACTACTACTATTACTCAATGCTTGTTCTTCAGCTTCCCTGTATACGACATGGATACCGACGTTTTCAACCTCTACTTTGGATACGGGCATGCAGGCCATTTTTCCCAAGTTTTCATCTTCTCCAATTGAAGAAAGCTGAATTAGTTCAAATAAATGAGCTTCACATTCAAATCCAACCTCATTTAATTGCTCCATTTCATCTTCCGTGATTCCCAAAAATGCACCGCGTGGGATACACCTAACCACCATATTTCCAAATTTGACAAATGGATTGCAGATAGCCCATTCTTTGATGATCCTCTGAGTAACGTGGCACTTGAAGTTCATTTCAATACGACAATAGTCCGATTTAGCCTCTTTGAATCCAACAACGGCGTAAGCAAATCCCAAGAACCTGTCGTTAAACCAATGTGGAGGCAACTGAAAAGATGTCGAAGACCCCCTACTTTGATGGCTGAACCACTTTGGAATCTCTCTCCCAGGTAAAACAATGTCACAAGGAGCACGAAAATTTCTCTGTACAATAGAGATTGGTCTCAATCAGTGGCTGGCACCTCCGAAAAATTTTTTTTTGTAAAAATGTAGACAAGTAATGTGAAATAAACAAATTAACCCTTTATGCTTGAAATCTTTTTCACTTTATTCCCAAAACTAATTTTTGTTAAAAATTAAATAAAAAATACCACAATAACTGCCACATAATATAAAAAATATAATATTGTATTAGTCATTAAATTTATGTCAAATATGTGAGTTATATATAATCAAATATTTTTACGCTACGAGATTACTAGTATGTCATTTTTTGTCAAAATTTTAACATAAATTAACTTTAGGAGTAAAGTGAGAAAAACTTGAAATATGGATTGTCAAACTGGAAAAAAAAGAAAAGAAAAAAAAAGAAGACCCATTATAGACCAAAGTGAGAAAATGATCAAATATAAAGAAGGCAAAGTATAATTTACACAGACAAGATTCACACTTATCTATAGGAATGTGCAAAATACCGTTAAATTTGCTAAAATCGCATCAATTTGCACTGCTTTATTTACTAATCACGGTTTAAACTTTAAAATTTATAATTCGCCTTCGAAAAAATAAGCATAAGAGAGATTTAATATGTGAAATTTATTACAGATTAGTAGTTATATATATGAAAAATATTATGTAAAATTCGTTTGTGTTATATATATAAAAAATATTATTCAAATTAATTTTATATATTAAGCAAAGACTTGATAATTGATTAAAATATTCTTCAATTCGCCAATTCACCCAAAACTTCTCAAACCACAATTTACTAATCTGCCATTTAATTTATAATTTACTTTCAAATTATCTGAATCTTACCCACGCACACCTCTATTTATCTATATCTATTATTATTATTATTATTTATTTTTATTTTTTTTTGACAAGAGGATCCACAAACCACACACTGGACAATTATTGACCAAGTGAGAGAAGTGGCCCATTAAAACACACACAACCAAACTCCTCCACTGATGTGGAAAGCTTGCCCCAAGCCTACCTGGGCCGGAGAGTCCCACCCCGCAAATCTAATATCTATCATTCACTTTCCATTAATCTATTAATTTAAACTTTGGTTTGGTTCATCTAATATGGGAGAATGCGAGAGGTCTGTCCTTACTATCAATAATTCAAATTATTAATTTTGTAAATTTTTTAATTTATATTATTCATAAAAAAAAGAGATTAGTTTAATATGATAATAGTAATATTTTTATTTTATCACATTTATTTCTGAAAAAATGAACAACAAATATATTTTTGAAAATAGACCATTCATTTTTTTACAGACATACACGATAAAATGAAAATGTTACTATTACCATATTGACATAATTTTTTCATGAATGACATACATTAAGAATCTTACAAAATGAACGATTTGAATTATCAAGACATGACCCGTGGTGGACCCCATGAACTCCTCACATTTATGTTGAGAGTGAACATAAGAGAAATTTAATCTATTTTTTTAGATAAATTATAAATACACCCCTTGAATTTTGCTTAAAATACAAATCACCCTTGTGGCTTTGGAAATTATATTCCACCCATTGAAATTTCTAATTTCATAATTAATGGCTCCTTTTGTTAATAAATTATCAAGTCAATTAATAGTTTTTAATGATATTGAAATACATTTAAATTATTCAGATAATTTTATTATTGTATAAGAGAATATTTAGAAATTTTATTTTTCAGTTAATTCTATTAAATAAACAATTCTAACAAGGAATTATTTATAATTTTTCAAAATACAAAGAGTAATCGGTATTTTAAATAAAATTCAAGAGGTGTACTTGAAATTTATATATATTTTTGGATGGGAGAAGATTAACCCTTTAAACTTCACAAATCACAGATAGTTTTTTTTCTATAAATATATTAATATTTCGGGACAATTACAATAATAATAATAATAATAATAACTTGTTATAAATTAATCCTAAATTTTTAATTTTGTCAATTTATATAATAATAATAATAAAATTTAGAGTTTTAACCTTATAACAAAATTAACCCTAAATTTTTAATTTTATCAATTTATATCTTAAAATATTGATTTGTTTTCAATCTAAACTATATGCCTATTTTTCTTAAGTAAAATCAATGAAAAAAATAAGTATTTTAATGTATATTTTAGACATTTGATATATATTTAAATTGAGTTTAATGATTAAATGTTTTTTTTTTGTGTCTGTTTTACTTAATGAAAATAAATAAATTGTAAAAATTAAAAATAAATCAAAAGATTAGGTTTTAAATTGACAAAATTAAAAATTTAAGATTATTTTGTTACAAAACTCAAACTCTGAATTTTAAAATTTACTGATCAAAGCTAATGAAATTTCACAAAGTTGATGAAATTTTACTAATTTTCTAAGACAGTGAATGTTTAATTGATTTTCAATTTTGCAATTTTAGCCACTTAAGTGAAATTGCAATGGCTTGATCTAAAAGTGAAATTTAATTAAAGTCAAATAAATTTTAGTGTCTAACATAGTAAAAATTCAATTGATTTCCAATTTTGTACTTTTAGCAATTAATTGAAAATTTCTGGCCTTGTTTGGTTTAACTCTCAAAATATAATTTTTGAAAAAAAAAATTCCAAAATCACTTTCTTTATCCTACACATCAGTCAATCATTTTTTCTCTCTCATTTCTCATTTTCAATCACTTTTTCTCTCACACACATCTATTCAACTACAAGAAAATATCAAATCATCCCAAATTCTCATACTCCAAAACTATTTCCAAAATATACAACCAAACAAACCAAAAAATTTTCTAAACTCTCTCTCCAAATTTTTTTTTGAAAATTTATCTCCCAAAATCAAACCAAACACACCCTTAAAATCTTAATTATTAATATTTATAAATTTATCATTAATTTATAATTATTTTTTTTAAAAATTATTAATGATTTAAGCAGGTAGGTCTTCTAGAAAAATAACACCTATAATTATCCTTATCATTAGAAGGGAACTCTCCAAGGGAACCTTCTGGAGTAATATCAGCAAAAAATAAAAAAATAGATCCAATTAATTATAGTCTAGATGAATTATAAACAATGACAGAACAATAAAAAAAATAATGAAATGAAATATAAAATAATATTAAAAATATAATATAAAAAATAGCTGAAAACTAGAGAAAATGGATAATTACGTATTAGAAAAAATAAATAATAGTCAAATAGAAATAGAAGAAGACCTATATAAGTTGTGAAAAATATATACTAATTATAAAAACATTCGTGCAGATGATAATTAAGTTAATAATAAATTAAAATTTAGGCCTAATCACAAGTTTTTATAACCTTTAGTTGTGTTTGGTTCATGGATATGAGAAGAGATTTGGAAAGAGAAATGAAAGATAGGTAAAATATAAATGAATTATAATTACATCTCACACGCATTTCACACCTTTTCCTTTCCCTTTTTCAAGTCCTTTTCTAAATCAAGGATCAAACACAACATTAGGCTTATGTTCTATTTTATATTGTCTTTAAGACTAAATTAATTCGAATTAAATACTTTAGAGACTTAATTGACAAATTGAAACTATAGGGACTTAAATGAAAAAAATATAATGGCCTTGTTTGGTTTAACTCTCAAAATACAATTTTTGAAAAAAATATTCCAAAATTTTGTTTCGTTGCACTTTCTCTCTTCTATGCATCAATCAATTACGTTTATTAAATGAAATAGAATAATATGATATTTTTTTAAAATATTTATTTTATATTCAAAAAATAATTAAAAAAAAGCATTGTAAAAAAAATAATTATTCCATAAAAAATGAAAAAAATAATCATTTCATTTGATTGCACTTTATTCCATTACGCTACGTGAACTTTTTCTCTAAAAATAAGATTAGTTTTTTTACAAAATTGAATAGAATCAATGATTACATATATGATCGAAATTTTAATTTCTATTATAAAGTACGATTATGGAATAAATAAATGAGATACAATTTTAGCTCAAATGAGTGAATTGTTATTATTATTTTTTTAGGATGGAATAATTGGATGGTGACATTACACACCAATGATCATATGGTATCACTGTTAAGCTTCGATTTGGTCTTATTTGTAAAAAAATATTTTTAGACCCTTGCCCAGACACGGGCTATTCTTGTTATAAATTTATATTTCAAAATGCATATCTGATAACAAATTATTTTATTTGGTTTGATTTTTTACAATTATTTTTAGATGAATTTTCATTTGTTTTCACAAAATTTTTCATATTTTTTTCAATTTTTTTTTTACAATTTTTTTTTTCTATTTATTTTGTTAAATTAAAAATTCTAATAAGGAATAATTGTAATTTCTAGGGGTGGGCGCGGGTCGGTTGCACGGAACCTCCAATCCGCCATCCGTCCGCCAGATTGGCGGATTGGAGAAAATCAATCCGCATTCACCCGCCAATCCGGCGAATGTAGATTGAGCGGATTGGCGGATGAATACGATCGGTTTGGCGGTTTAAAATTTTATAAATTTTTAACATAATTAAACTTGTGCACTTCCTCAAAAAAAAAAAAAAAGTATTACTGTCAATGACTTAAAAAAGTATTACAATCACTGCATGCCTCATCCAAAGAAAGAAAGTTTGAAACTTTAGAATATTATAATCACTGCATGCCCCATCTACATAAAGTATTACAATATGTGGTTCTTAAAATACAAAAATAATTCAAACCACTAAAATCATAAATAGAGTAGTAAGAAGATTGTATGCATTTATATTATTACATCTATATCTATTTTTTAAAACAAAAACCAAACAACATATATCATCTTTTTTATTTATTATTTTTAGAGTTAGATTTAAAAACCAAAAAATATAAATAAATAATACATTTATTTTTTTCAATTCAAAAAATATATTCAAGTTAAAAACTCTTTTTCAACAGAATATATTTAACATAATATTTAAACTCTTTTTCAATTGAAAACACAAATAGAATATCTAAACAAATTGAAAACACAAAATTTTACAAATTACAAGGGGTGCTCGCGGTTTGGCGGTTTGGCGGTTCGGTTGCGACCAAAGGAACCTCAATTCCGCCATCCATCCAAAACTAGGCGGATTGAAAAAAATTAATCCGCAACCGTCCGCTCATTATCACGCATCCGTCTAAAATGCGACAGATCGGTTCGTTTCGGTCGGTTTAGGCAGATCGGTATATCCGCTGCTCACCCCTAGTAATTTCTAGTATTGGAGGGACATTTTATATTTTGAACAAACCTCATGAGTGTATTTGTATTTTATCCAAAACCAACATATATTTATGTGAGCAAGAATCTTTGCATTATTATGAAAACCCTTCACTCAAATTAGTACCACCAATATTCGTAAATATTTCCAAAGAAGAGGATAAAATGAGAAATTCAAATTATAGGTTACCATTAATAAATTATACAAAATGAAAGGGCAAAATAGGAAAGAAAACCTCAGGGGTATATTTGTAATTTATCCAAAATCAAAATATTTATGTTCTATAACTGATCAAGATTTTTTGTATAATTACGAAAAAATTTTCATCCAAATTAGTACCACAAATATTGGTAAATAATACAAAATAAAAGAGTAAAATGACAAAAACTGAAATGCAAGCATCTATGGACGAATTACACTAATAGCCTCTATAGTTTGGGACTCGTGTCACATTGGTTCATGACTTTTCAATTCTGACACATTTGACCATGAATTTTGAATTTTGTTTCAAATAGAGACAATTGAAAATACTAATGCTCAATTTCAAGGACAAAATCATCAATTTGATAAAATATAAACTAATTTGACAAAAATAAATGTTAAAAAAAAATGTTTAAATTTTTAAAAATTATTTCTACCTACCAAAGATAAAATTATGTAAAATTGATAAATCTTTTACTCATTTATTTATTTATTTTATTAAATTAATTTTTATTATGTGTTTGGATGATTATTATATAATTGGTGGTTGTTAGTAATCAATATATTTAATATATGAAATGTTTTTAGTTTTGGATTTTTTTGATTTAATGGATTAGTTTAATAATGATATTAAAGTTGTCGCTATATTTGACTTTTGAAAAAATGAAAACTAATTTAATAAAAATAAAAGCAACCACTCATTACATGATCATCATCCAAATACATAATAAAAATTAATTTGATAAAAATAAATAAATGTGTAAAAAATTTATCAATTTTACATAATTTTGTCTTTAGTGGATAGAAATAATTTTTAAAAATTCAAAAATATTTTTTTGACATTTATTTTTATCAAATTAGTTTATATTTGATCAAATTGACGACTTTGCCATTGAAATTGAATAGTGGTATCTTCAATTGTCCTTATTTAGAATAAGATTCAAAATTTAAGATCAAATGTGTCATAATTGAAAAGGCACAAGTCTCAAACTATAGGGACTACCCCTGTAATTTGTCCTAGTAAATATCCAAACCAAAGGGCAAAATGGAAAAAATAAATAAATACGAGCCTGAAAATGCCTTCATCCAAATTAGTACCACCAATATTGGTAAATAACAAAAATAATAAAAGGATAAAATGGAAAAACCAAAATGCAAGTTTCTAATAGTAAATAATTCCAAATCAAAGGGCAAAATCAAAAAGGAAAAAAAATAGGAGCGTCAAGGAGATGAGCACTTCTTATATATATATAGATATATATATTTTTTTAAACTCAAAAAACTCATTGCTTAGTGTTCAAAGTAGGAGTGACTGAGTGTTCAAAATTGCAATGAGTGAACTTGTTGAACATAAGTATTCGTATTAAAAAAAAAATTTAGGGTGTTTAATTAGTTAAAGAGTAGAGCCGCTGCTTCACAGAGAGAGAGAGAGAGAGAGAGAGAGAGAGAGAGAACCTGAAATATGTTTGAAAGAAAATTTTCTGTCAGGATGTTGTTTTGCTTATTCTCAACCAAATTGAAGCAATTGTTGGACACTGAGACATGACTAGAAGTTTCGGATGGAATCCATATAGTTCTTAATGATGGGCAATCATCAACACATAGGTAGCTTGTTCTTTTAGGTAAAATCTCTGGCAATTCTTGAAGCTTCTTGCAACCAACCAAAAACAAGCACAACAGATTTGAAAGTTGGTTTATGCTTGTAGGTAACCTTTCCATATTGTTTCCACCTAGGAATAAAAATTCCAACGAGTAGATGCTACAAATGGCTGTGGGGATAGATTTTAAATTACAGTAACCCAGATCTAGATGCAGTAAAGACTTCAACCCTGACAAAGCTGCTGCTAGTTCAGAAGCCATGGAATTTAAATTACAGTGACTAAGATCTAGTTTCTGTAAAGATTCCAACCTTGACAAAGCTGCGGCTAGTTCAGAAGCCATGGAATTAGATGATATTCCTTTACACCCTTTAAGCGTTAGTACTTCAAGCTTCTTCAGACGTCCAATGGAGGATGGGAGTTGTCTAATTGCAGTCCAATCTGCACGAAGCTCATATAAACAGTACAAAACACCCACTTCTGGCGGCAATTTGTCAAGTTTGGAGCAACCAGAAAGTATTAAAGTTCTAAGATCTTTCAACTGACAAATGCTATCTGGAATACTTCTCAAGTTTTTACAATCACTCAGACTAATCAAACCAAGATTGGTAAGATGTTCAACTGAAGGTGGAAGTTCACTGATACCAGTCCCATCTAAACAAAGCTTTGATAGACATTTCATATATCCCAAGCAGATCAAAACGTTATCAAGCTTTGAACACCCAGAGACAATAAAAACTTCAAGAGATTCCAATTGAATGCCACATGGAAGACTCTTGAGACTTTTGCAGTCCTTCAAGTTCAAACAAATAAGCCTTTTGACAGCTACAATGGATGGATGAAGATTAACCAAACCTATACAACCTTCAAGAATCAGTTTTTCAAGATTTGGGACCCTTGTGAAGTCTGGGCACTTTGTTAGATATGTCGAATGACTAAGATTCATGATCCTTAACTTGTCTAGATGCTGTTGAAGAAAAACATAAATACAAATACATTACAGAAATTATATAGAAATAAATTACGGAAATTATATTCTGTCACGGACTTTGCATCTTATTCAAAGTAATTAACGAGAATGCATATTCATACCATTGTTTGCTCCCAAAGTTGTTCAATGCTGCTATAGGTTAAGTGAAGTTCAACAAGATGCTCTGGTTGAAATGTTGAAGGCATGTATTTCATAGGGTATCCTAACCAGTCAAGATACCTTAACTTGTTAGGAAGATATTCGAGTTCTTCTGAGAGGTGCATACAACAAATTTTGAGAATCCTCAAGTTCGACATCTTTGCAAAAGCTTTAGGCCTCAACTTCAGTTGTTTTAGAAACCCAATGTCCTTTGGATCTAGACCTCTTAGGTCACTATACTGCATAACTATGCCTTCCACTTTGTTTGTTCCCTAATAACCATAAGCAAATAACAAGAACACAATATTAGAAGGTTGACAAAATTATGCACAGCTAGCTTTTGTTAATTAAACAATTTTTGAGTGTTCATGCTTTTCTATAAGACCTCTTACCGTATCGTCCATCAATACATGTTTTATATCTTCATCACACCATAACCTAGTGCGCTTTCCAGGCTCTTTATGTGATTCCTCGCAAACAATATGCCACCCTAGTTCTTGTATCAAATGATGCATCAACAACTTATTGCTTGAGATAGTTATAAGAGACTTTTCAACAAGAACCTCTATTCCAATAGTTGGGTCGAAGCCACAACTTTCTAGTATTTTTGCTACATCATTTTTGTCCTTCCCTTTGAAAAAACATGCAATATCTAAGAATATGTCTTTCTCTTCTGATTTCAATGCATCGTAACTTATTCTAAGTACTTGTAGAACTTCCTTGAGAGAGCTTTTTTTCAATCTGTTTAATGAACTTTCCCATTGATCTTTGTTTCGACCACAAAGGAAAGAACCCAAAACTTTGAGAGCTAAAGGAACTCCGTTAGCATATGTTACTGCATGACGGACAAGCTCTCCATAGCCTCCCATTTGTTGGTGTTTCCCAAAGGCTTTCGATTCTAAGAGTTCTATAGCTTCATCTTCTCTTAATTGCTCAACCTCATAGATATGTTTTATGCCATATCTAGTTAACACATGTTGATTTCGAGTCGTTACAATGATTCTACTTCCACAACTGTACCAATCGTGCTCTCCTACCAATTTTTCGAGTTCGGTTGATTCATCCACATCATCAAGCACGATAAGGACTTTTTTAGCACATACCGTGCTCCTTATCATATGTACTGCATGACCATTACTTCCTACTTTCAAATCTTTTTCCATTAAGATTTCAGAAATGAGTTGTTCTTGCAAAGTTTTTAAACCACATTTTTCTAAAACTTCTCTAACATTCTCAATAAAGCTGTAACCTTCAAATTGGCAAGAGATACAGTCATAAACAGCTCTGGAAATAGTAGTCTTGCCTATCCCACCCATTCCCCAAATACCTACAACACGAGCATCATCCATCTCTAAGCCTAGCAATTCAATCACTTTCTCCATACGAGAAACCATCCCAACTAGGTCTTTGCCAATGCTTGAATATGTATCAACTAATTTTCCAAAAAGTTTCCTGACAACTTCTTCGATGAACTTTGATTCAGACCTATGCAGATTTAGGGGAACAGTAATAAATTTATTCATCAAAACTCAAAAGAGCTATAAGAAGGAAAAGTGTCATTAATTTGGTAAAATGGTGATTAATTTTACTCATTGCAATTGAATAGCACATATAAATATAGTTTCCCTGTATTTTATATGATCATTAGAGAAAAAAAAAAAAAACATGGAAAGTCCGCATTTGCTTTATTTGAATGGCACATTGGGTTTCTAAATTTTCCCACTATTGATCTACTTTACTAGTTATTGAACTACATTTGTTCAGTTCTACTCTAATTTGTTGTCAGAAACCCTTAGGAAGATTTCTATTTATAGAGTTGTTGATACTATTTTTTATTTCAAAAATTTGTGTAAGAGTGTTTGATGAAACTTTTGTTTACACCTTATGAATCACAAATAGTTTAAATAAACAAACAAGGGAAGAGATTTCGATTATTAAATTTTAGCCGGCTAGAAACCGCATCAAATCAGTTAGACTATATTTCTAGCCCTTCAACTTTAAGACAAAGTTGCTTTTGGAATTTACGAGTTTGGTACGGATTTGTAGAGGAAAAGGAGAGTGCAAGAAATGTAAATAAAATATAAGTAAAAAAATTTCACCCTTCCTTTGATCTTTTTCTTTCCTCCATAAATTCATGTCCAAACAGACCCTAGATCCAAACACGAAGGTTAGATGATGATTTTCTTTTTCTTTAATGTTATTAAACTTGAAAACACTTACTTCACGTATATTATAATGTTTCTTAAATCATTATTTTTACACACATATTATAATGTTTCCTAAATGTTTCCTAAATCATTATTTTTACGGTCAAACTTATTATTTCTTGAATATGATAATATTAAACATCATATAAAATTATGTTATAAAGTTATTTCAGTTGCACTAAGATTATCCTTCCAATTCAAATATGCTTTTTTTTCCTTTTTAATCAGATCTTGCATCGCATATGCTGCAACCGCTTCTTAAATAATTTTATAATTATATCTGCATAAATATAACGAAAAATTGGTGTTAAAACTTTCTCATAATAAAATTTTAACGTATTAAAGATAAATATAAAAAGTTTTTTTTTGAAAAGTTTAACGCATATCACTTTTATTAAAATATTAAATTTTAAAATAACATAACTTTTGAAATAATTGTTGATTTTTAATAAATTTCACTCTACTTGGTTTTCATTTCCAAAATTCACTTTTCAAAAAATTTTGCAGTTTCGTTTTTCGTATTTTTTTTCTTTTCATTGAATTAAGATTTTAAGAATTTTTTAAAATTTTTAGACATATGTAACATAAATACACTTAAAAAGTATAATATTTATGAAAAAAATCATTAAAAAATTCACTAAATAACAAAAATATTAAAAAAATACGAAAATTCAGTACATTTATTATATTTTTGTATCTTTATTAATTTTTTAAAATATTTTTTTCACAAATATTTTTTTATTTAGACACATCTAAGTAAGATGTATCTAAAAAAGTAAAAAATTACTTCAAATTTTAAAAATATTAACTAAAAAAAAAATACGAAAAATAAAAAACTAAATTTTCAAAAAATTGAACTTAAAAAATTGAAACAAAAAACACTGATTAGTATTTTTTGAATCCTCTCATCAAGATCTATCAAATAAGATTCATGTTGACTATGAAATTCTTTTAAAAAAAATAAAAATTTATTACCATCGAAACTGATGTAAATAGTAACAGTAACATATTACTCCGTTTAACAATTACTTTAATTCACAGTAAAATGTTACTTTGGTAATATTGTCTAAAAAAAATATATATTTTACTTTATCTTTATTCAATTATGTATTTTCTCCTTACGAGTTTACGAAGTAAAATAAATTAAACTATCTTTTTCCCTAAATAAGGATCAAATGAAGGAGTTTTGACTAAATTTTTAATAGTTTTTGATATTTTTAATCTTTGTATATTTTATACTTTTATTTATTTATTTTAATCTCATAAGTTTAATTCTACAAATCTATTTTTAAAAAAAATTGATATATGTGAATTTAACTTTTCGAGATGTTTCAAGATCAATATTAGTATGAAAATTAAAACATATATATTGATAAAAAGTGAATACATGCTGTCACAGTTTACCCACAATGATACACAATTAATGATATATGCCAAATTTTGTCACATTATTTTGAAAGAATTTGTGAGATATATATCATTACACAAGTTTTATCTAATTATCAGTTACCTGACGATTGCACCACTGGGGTAAGGCCATCCTGATAAATTGGCAACTTGCTCCAAAGCATTCCTCCACCTTGGAACATTCTCCATCCCCAATACTCCCTGTTTGGAAACCAAATCATCAAATCCCTTCCCAAAACTCCCTCTTTGCCCTCTCACTTCCGACGGATGCACATGATAGAAAATCGGACAAACCGTTGTGTTGCTGCATTCAAGTGCCTCCACAAGTTCATCCAAACACCATCTCGAAGAAGCATAATTCTTCGATAAAACTATAATCGAAAACCTCGATCCTCCAATCGCTCTCCGGAGCTCCGGCGAAATCGATTTTCCTCTCTCAAGCTTTTCATCGTCTTTGAAGGTGTGAATCCCCTTGTGAGTCAACGCAGTGTAGAGATGACTGACGAAGTTGTCGCGAGTGTCTTCACCTCTAAAGCTCAAGAACACATCGTATGTGTATCGAGGTCGAGAAGAAGATGGAACAGAGGAGGAAGCCATTGTTTAATTGTTGTTTGGTATAATTGAAAACACAAGTAGAAACTAGGATCTCTGTGGCCTTTTTTATAATGTGAAATTTGCGTTATTTGAAAGCAATTTGGTACAGATAAACAACCAATTTTCATTGTAACTTGCACGAAATTTCTTCAAAGAAAGCGAGAAGGTCCACGCGGCTACTTTCCTATCCAATTTGCAAATACGCCTTTTCTTTTGAACAGGTCCACGCGTTTACAATTAATTTAAAATTTATTGTAACAACATTCGTTGAATTGTAATTTCTTTATAAAAGAAAGCATAAGCAAGAACAAATTTATCAATTTTTTTTTGTCACATATCAACAAATAATCAGCCAAACACGGCGTAGTGGTAGGAATGGTCACTGACCTAGAAGGTATTTACGATGATTTAAATAAATATATTTTTAACTTTTTTATAAAAAGATATATAGAAAAGTAAAAAAATGATGTGATTCAAAAAAAAAAAAAAAAATACTTATTAAATCAAATCTAGCAAATAGTCCCCTAGTAATGAAGGTTGTTAAAATCATAATTTTAGAAGGAATCGTTGGAAGAAAATGATAAATAAAATCAAATCAAATTGTAGAATCAAATTAAAAATGATAAAATTTTACTTTTAAGACAAAATAAAATAAAATAATTATTAGTTCTTATACCAAGTTAAGTGGTCGGGCTTCACATGATAAGATTATACTTGAACCCGACTTATGTTCATCTCCACTCAGTGGTTACTTGATGGTGATTAAAGGTTTCAGAATCCACACTCAAATATAAATAATAATCAAATAACATAATCTGATCAATTCCCTTAATGTCCAACACAATAATTTAGAATTCTATCTTAATTATTATGGAAGATATCGTTGTTTAGTTCATTTAAAATAATAATCTTATGTATGTTCTTCCTTGCCAAATTATTCAAAATTAAATCATCTAATGTATCTGTTGGCAACAAATCAGAATAGATATCCAATATTTGATTTTTAACAGAGATATGATCAAGGCAAGCAAATTAACTCGAAAATTTCAAATCATGAAAGAAACCGAATTAAATTCATATCCAAAATTTACTGAATTAATTTAGAAGAGACTGTTAGAAAAATAGTACCAAACCATCGGGAAAATATAATTTAAAATTATGCAAACAATTTTTGGGCAAAACCAAAAACTGAAATAAATCAACCTAATAACGTGATAAAGTATAAATAGATAAAACCTGATCGAGTCGAGTGTGTGACACTCTCTTCTTAAGACAGATTCGTCCTCCCACTGGTGCTTAGGATTCAATGGATGTCTATCTCCCAGGATACAACGATCAATGTCTTGCACTAGCAGCACTACTAATGCAAGCCTAGCGAACTTTGCTGTGTATGAACTCTCTTTATAGGAAAATTAGACTTAGGAAAAATGAAGAATAAATGCAAAGTGAAGAAGAATGACAATTCACCATCTAAAATGAAGTGAGGGAGATGGAATATAAAGACTTCTATGTGACTCTTCAGAAAGGTTGTGATCCTTAAAAAAGACACACCCTTTCATCTCAAGAGACACAACCATTGGAGTAAATTTAAATTCAAATTCAAATTTTCCAACAATCCCCCACATGAATGAAATTTACAGAAAGGACATGCAACAACATGCAAACAAAGAGAGAGTACAATATGGAAATATCCTGCATCGGGATAGGTAGCTTTCGGCTTTGAACTTTCCATAGTGAAAGCCTATCGGACTTACTAGCTAATCAGTGGACGTGATGCCTTGAACTGTTCAGCCGTTTATGTAAGCCAAGACAATAGAATTCATATAAAATATCTTCAAACACAGCTTAGTTCTCACGGTTGTGCCCGTTTTGGCCTTGGGCAAGTCCTGGTGTTTCTTGAGTGCGTTAGAGAATTTAGCCTTATCAATTCTCATGGAATCGGCCCCTTCACACTCATATAGGTGATCCTTATTTCGAGTCTCTTAAATACTCCTCTTGAAAGATACCTCTCTAGGATTTCCAAGATATAAGTAATCATTAAAAGCATAGCTTACCCTAAGTTCCCTGCATATAACACATGTTGTAGATATCACTCTCATCATAGGAATGGATAGGAGTTAGACCCCTTTAGTGATTGCTGGCGAGCCACACATAACTTAGTTGTCCCTTTGAACTTAGTTCTTGGGATCTCCAATCATCTAAGTAGGGTTACCATTATGATGACTCTGATGTAATAGGCTTTAATCACATTCCCTTCGATAAACTTTCCCTCATTTGCTCTCTGGTCAAACTTTTTGTTTAGCGGCCGCTATTTTTCCGTTTAACCTTCTCAGTTAGATATCATTGAGTAGTTAGTGAATCCATTATATTATCCTTAGACAATATTCACAATTAAAAGCAAATGTCATACGGTGTTAAGTCTTTGATTACATCGAGACTTATCGTTACTCTATGTCACTCCTATTTAAATAATAAACATAAAGTTGTTCCTTAGAAGTTAATGAAACCATTGTTGCTTCTACTCCAACTTTGTCCTATATAAAGAATTGAGATTCTTTGTGGACCTATTATCGAAACCGTTACTTTGGTAAAATCCTCCAAGCACCCCCAAATTTTAAGCATTCTAAGGAAACTTAATTCCTCTTATTGATGTATAATTATACAAAATATTAATACACCCCCACAATTCTGAGATAAATCAGAATATATCATTAATTGACGTGCTTGAACTAAATAACAAGATGTAAACTATTTTGTGAATATAATCACAATACTAATTTGTTATATGTTTTCATATTATTTTTCACATTTTATATTGATAAAAATCAACTTGGTAAGGCTTAAGCCATAAGTCTTGAGATCCTAGGTTCCATTCTCTCCGGGCCAGTCACTTGGGCGATAGTTGGTAGGACGAACCTTTCAGGCCTAGGTGAACTGTACCCAGTGTCAGAAGTATGGATTCAAATCCCTCTCCATGTGCAGGTCTGCGACTTACCGCTATATGGTTGAATGACCCTATTATATAGTATCACCTAAGGATGATTTCTGAAATCTCAACTCCTTAGAGTCTAATCCCAAAAGTCACCCTTTTGTAATTAGGCCTTTATATATGTTCATTCCTTATATTAGAATTTTGTGTCTCCCCACATTTTAAGCATTCTAAGGAAACTTAATTCCTCTTGTTGATGTATAATTATACAAATATTAATACACCCCCACAATTCTGAGATAAATCAGAATATATCATTAATTGGCATGCTTGAACTAAATAACAAGATGTAAACTATTTTGTGAATATAATCACAATACTAATTTGTCTAAAAACAATTAGACTTCATAACTTGCTTTTGTAGTACAAAGAAGAAATGACTAAAACCGGTTGTGCCTACAACACTTTGGCAAGAAATATTTCTTTAGCCATGATAAATTTCTTTTTGTTTACTGCAACCCTTAATTCCAATATCAATATGGAATATGAATATCACTGTATAAATACATTTACATCTTATTTGTCTTATCCAGTATTGGTGACTACATCGACAATTACCAAAGTGTCTTTTACCCATGAAATATTTTAACTCATATAATATTTCATTACGGAGTTATTGGTCACCACACCAATTTCAATCATTATTCCAAAGAATAATTAGAATTTCTCTTATGTCAAACACATAAGTTCACATTCTTATCAACATTTGATAAATAATTGACATCCATTTATAATACACCGCATACCAAATTGATATTAATGACATCATAAATTGATTGTCAACTCTACAACATATGTAGACATGGAATCTCTCTTCCCCCACATTTGTGATAATACATAAATTAGCACAAACAACATGATTCATTCCCAGACAAATGTCACTGCCACAACTAATAATTCATTTTTGATGAATATTTGGGACAAAGAAAATTGAATTATCTTTTCTCTTTCAAAAGATAAACGCCCACATTAATATTATGGTTCATGGTTAAACAAATTCTACTATACAAGTAAAATAATGATTGATGACAATTTATGTCACAAACTCAAAGTTACTTTAAAAATAACTTTCAATTTGATTATTAATCAAACTAATAATCAACATAAAAGATTCTTCAATCTACTTCCACTTAAATGGAATGATACCACTATTTCAATCATCAAGTTTAAACTTTTCTGGTGTTAACGATTGTCAGTACTACTATCACAATCAAACAAAAGGATTATTTACACATGAAATATACTTTTCGAAATAATATTTCACAAACTTTCAAATAAAATTTAATTTAAATCCCAGACAAAGAACTGGAAATAAATCAGTCAAAAACTAACACATCACATTTTTCTTTTCCCATAAAAATTTCATGGCAACATATGGCACCATAAGGCTCATTGCAAATTAATTAGAATTACTACAATGTAATATGCACATGTAAATGACATCTCTACATTTATATAATGCATCAGGCACCACATATACCATATGCTTGGTTTTAAAAAACAAGAAAAACTAAACATGTCTTAAGTTAATCAAATAAAATTATTAATCTGACTTAAAACAGTTAAAGATCTCAATGAAGGTAAAGCCATTCCAATTGATTAAAAATATTTGTCAATAGACAAACCAAAAATCAAAAGAATCTGAGTTTCTCCATAAATATAATTCGAAAAGTTGTAACTATTCATCCCGGTTATGTCTGCATGTAAAGACAGAAAACTGTTTTTTATAGGCAAACCAATTCTTATACAAAGATCATAAATATATATATATATATATATAATGAGCACTCTTTATACACGAAGTTAGAGACATCCATTTTTATTAGATTCAAAGCAACCCATTTTTATAAACAAACAGTTTCTGAATATGTAAACCAAGATTATATAAAACTGATTCACAACAATTCTTTTAAAACCATACAAATGTTTATGCTATACATGGTTTATGTGATCCAAGAAATAAAATAACTGAATCGTTCTAATTTCGAAAAAGTATCGATCCAAATCTAATATTTATAATATAAAAGAAGATTGATTTACGAAATCCCAATATTGTTTAATCAAAATATATG